CTGAAGATGGTGATGTGGAGACGGTAGGATAGAAGATTCCACGATGAGTTTTGCTAAGTAGGAAGAGGAGATGCACATAAACCCATCATGTTGATCCTAGCCCAGGAGGACCTCCTGTAAATATTTCATCCCGTAGTTATCGTGATCGGCCCCAGGTTTAGATTTGGATGAAAGTACTTGTTCACTGCTGGCATCTCTCCACCTCCAGGCGTCACTCGGAGAAAGCGGCTCAGGCTTTCTGACTGCACTGCTCGCATGTCGGGCTTGCTATTCTCGTTCACTCCTGGCGAAGCAGCACCTCTCGAAACAAGAGATGCTCCTGTGTTGAAATGAGCATGGTGTTGCGTCTCTTTGGACTTTTTACGCCCAAAGAGCATACCTGTGAGACTGAGGGAAGCGAGTCCCCACGAAGAGCGCCGGGTGTCTTTAGTTCTAGTATCGCCTCCAGTCGTTAGAGCCTTCGGGTCCAGAAAGAGAAACAGGATTCGACTTACTTAGGAACAAACCGACAGAGTAAACAGTCTGTTAGTAGTAAGCGTGAACGATCTTCGAGAACTCCTTAAGCCTGTGTTGACATCTACCGCGACAGCTCCAGTTCCTGCGTCACCCGTGGAAGCACGATGACCCATGGAACCCTTATGATGTCCATGATCTTTACGGCTCTGCTTTCTAGACATCGACATCGAAGCTGATGACTTCAACGATTGGTTTGGATTATTGTGGTGATGATGTCCCCAACCACCAGAGCTGTTGCGTGGATGTTGAATTTCACGATCCCTACCACGTTGGTGCTGGTCTCCGCTCCTATGGTCACTGATTTCTCGGAGGTCGTTGTGTTTCGAGCCAGCCCTTGGTGGTGTGGTAGTGGTTGATCCTCCTCCACTTCTCGGCGGGCCGCCGCCAGTGCTTGTACGCCGTTTCCCGGATGCGACGTTTCCGGTAGCAGACTCTCTTCCTCTCCTGGAACTAGTGTGTGGATCACCTGCAGTGCCGATGAGCAACGCCGGTGGCTTGCTGGTGAATGAGCCTCGACGTCCGCTCACCGACTCTCGAGGACGGTCAGTATGATTCATTCTTGAGGTCGTGCTACCGCGAGGACGACCGTCATTTGTAGTACTACCGCGACGATCATCAGCGCTACTGCGACGATGCTGGCTTCCATGGTTTTCCACGCCACGATTATCCATTCCACCTGCACCTCCAGTTGAATTTCGGCGTTTACCCTTAGTACTTCCAGTAGAGCCGCCATCGTCGTGTTGTTGTTCTTCCCTAGTTCTTTTCTGTATAAAAATTGTGTTCGACTTCGACGACGATGCGCCGCCACTTAGCATTTGGTGAACAACGTTTCCCCCAGCTGTGATAGAGCCTCGTAGTGCGAATGACGAGCGTCGACGTCCTCCTCCGCTTTTCCTTAGGAGACTTGCGCCATCTCCACAACCCTCCTGCATGAGGTCCCTTTCTTGTTGGTCAGCGAAGTTGTGGTCCAGAACGATGTTGACCTTGCTACCGCGACGGCTGCCACCTGAGTTTCGATTGGTAGGTGAAGGAATCGGAACAATGTTGAAGACTTCAAGGCCGTCAACAACACTCATCTCCGTCTCGGCAGGGCTGCCGTAACCATCGGCTGGCTCTAACTGGATCGCTCTACTGTGCTGTTGGCTCACGCGCTGTGCGCGATGTTGATGTACGCGGCTCAACTCTGTCGATCCAGTTGCGCCTCTGCTTCTCCTCAAGTCTGTAGCCTCAAGAGGTTGTGGTCGTTGCGTTTGTGCACCATGGTTTCCATTATTCCAATCTCGCCACGTAAAACTGTTTTTCCTCTGTCGATTTTGTTGAAACGATGCTGACGATGTGATGTGCGCAACGTCAGCGTCAACTTCATTCATGTAGTTGCCTCCATAGGAATCACCTCCATAGGAATCATGAGATGTAGATCTGCTCTTAGAGGTAGACGCTTCTCTTTGTAGCCTTCTGCTACTCCGCTTTTCCGTTGAATTTCGTGCACTGCTCTTCAAGGATGAAGCTTCACTTTGACCTTTGTTTGATTTCTTGTTGTTGTTTGATTTCTTCTTGTTATTTGAGGAAGAAGACGCTACCTTTGCTCGTCCTCTTTCCTTTTCCGCCTCTTCGTCTTCACTCATAAGACCACTACTGTCACTCACATCGCCTGCCCCTTCATGCTGTCCTCCCCTTGAACGGTCAGTGGACTCTTTTCTGACGACAACAGGTCCGGCCCTTATGCGTGTGGCGTTTTGATGTTGTTGCACTCGAGACCGAACCTCTTCCTCGTGCTGACGACGCGACAGCCTGTTGTGCGGATTTTGAAAGAAGTTATTAGTAGTTGTGCTAGAATTTTTCTTCTCTTGATGTTGGTATGCACCAGGATCAGTCCTCCTGGTCTGGAAGTCCTCGAAGCCATCATCCTCGTTGGCAAATCCATCATCCTCTTCCTCATACTTCTCGTCAACGCGATCAGGCGTCGCAAAAAGAATTCTATTGTCATCCGACGACCTCCTGAGCAACTCCGAAAGTCTTTGACTCTTCACTGATTTGCCAAATTTAGAACTAAAAAGAGAAATCCATCTTCTTCTTCTTCGGGCTCATCTTGCTCTCCCCTGTAAAAACGGGACTAAGATGCTGAGGAAGATGGATTTCTTGTAGTCTTAACAAATCCTCGTTTCTGGTTCAGTTCATCCGTCGATCGACGACCCGAAGAACCACTTCCGCTACTCGTTGGGTCAATGTGACGCTGAGGCTGTTGTTGTTGTTGTTGTTGTTGTTTGTTTTGCGACCTCCTGCTTGCTACTTGGTCGTTGATTTAGAGCTTGCAGAAATCCATCTTGGTGAGCATCTTGGTGCTCGTTTTCCCTTCAAAACGGGAGGAAGATGCTGGGGGAGATGGATATCCTCAAGCCTTAATTGATATACCCCTGATTCTGCTGCACCCAATTCTCCTCTCGTCCTCCTCTCCGCGGGTATTCACGGTCGTGTTTGGAGTCGAAGCTCACTCGTGGGGAGGGATTCTGTGCCTTCACGGAAACGGAGGACGCAGAACTAGACGGAAGTTGTTGCTCGGCAGGCTGAGATTGATGTCTTAGTCTTTGAGCTGCTGCAGAGGGCGAAGATTTGTAGGTCGTCACTCCATGATGATAATTGTTGTTTCCACTCCCGCTTGGAGCCGATGTAGTTGTTTTGAGTATCTTCTTCGGCTGATTGTAGTCACTTTGACCTCGAGGACCACCTCCACTGTATAACATATCTTTCTCATCTCCCCGCAGCTGGTAGTCTCCTAACCGCACAGAGGATGTAGAGGCATCAGAACTTGCGCGCTTGCTTCCAAAAATCTTCTCTTTAGATGACTCTGATTGCCGTCCGCTAGAGGATTGCTGGATGTGGTTACTCACGAAGCGATTCTTATTAACGTTTGAAGCATCATGCTGATGCTGATGCTGTTGCTGAGCAGGCGCTCTTGCACTGTTAGCGGTTGTTGGAACTACGACCGGATTAGGTGGTGTGCGCGACGTAGAGCTACGGCGTAGAACATATCCGTTTTTGTTGCTTGACCTACTGCTTTGTTGATGATGTCCAGCGTTGATAGATTGTATACCGAATAGATCCATGTTAGGGATGAAACTTCCTTTGGTAAAGTCGTCATCATGAGCATCCTCATCATTGTAAAACGAAGAATGCTTGTTGTTGTTTTTCCGTCGTCGACTGCTTCTATTGTTGCTGGTCGTACCTCCATTTTTAGCACCAGGCTTGTTGTTGTTTACGCCAGTCGTTGCACCACCAGCAGCGGGTATTGTTCGCTCCTTCGACCCAGTTGTGCGATTACTGAAGTACACCGGTCCTGCTTCTCCATTGGGTACTCCTCCATGGGGTACGCCGCCAGTTGCCGACTTTGTTCTCTCTGGCGGAGGTGTGTTATTCGCTGAGGATGTGCTTCCCGGCTCTGCGTCTCGATGACGCCTCGATGTTGAGATCACTCGAGCACTGCCTGCTCGTCCTCCAGTACTGTAGTGACGCACTCCGCTTGTTGGCGCTGTTTCCTTCGAAGTAGACTTCGACATGACTCCCATCGATGACTGCTCATCGCTCGTCTGCTGGCGAGATAACTGCATTCCTTCTTGATGAAAGCGCTGCTGAAGATGCTGTTGCTGCTGATGATTTTGATTCTGATAATTATACCCGTTGTGAGGACTCTGGTTCTGCGTAGAAGCTGCACCACCTCCGCCAAATAATCTGAATGACGTCGAGCGTTGATTACTTCGTCGCATACCATCCAGAGTAGCGGCTACAGGAGATGGAGCGCCCTGTTCCGTCGTTCCTAAGACGGGCTCATTCCTCAAAGCATGGGGACTAGCGATTCCGACATTCTGAGAACTGCGTCTTGGTGATGGTGCTTCAACTGCTAAACGCTGAGCATCCACTCGGTTAATATAGTTCGAGGCCGAACCGGAAGTAGGCGGAGGCGACATCTTGTCCTGCTCCTTCGGTGATGTGCGTTCTTCGCGGCGGCCAAATAAACATGATTAGGAACAAACAAATGGAGAGACAAAATCGAGAACAGTATCTACTTGCCATAAAGGAGGTCAATGTTGACCAGCGTCGAAGCATCACGTCACGGGGGCAAAAGATCTGATCATGAAAAGGATTTTTCATCTACAAAAGGTGAGGGGACCCGACACACATCGCCACTTTCTCTTCAACAGAAACAAATGATGAACATGACACCAACAGAAGCAACAAAGAACAGAAGTAGAGGAACGTGCATCCAGCAGTTTCCCCCTCACTTATTGCACAAGAAGAGAAAAGTTGCATTGAAAGGATCAACAGAAATATGACCGAAGTAGAGCGGACAACATGTCGACCAAGAAGACCCTTCGTTTTTTCTCTAGGATCTTTCAGCAAGAAGACTTCAGCAAGTTCAAATCCGATACTCTACAACAGAGATGCAACGTAGTCTCCACTCCAGAGAGAAGACCACAGATACGCTGAGATCCGCAAGGCATTTGGCAACAAAACGAGGTGGTTGTGGGTCAGCGCACGGCGCCATACAACGCTCGAGAAAATCGTGACGTAGTAGATTCACTACTATGAGAACAATCTAGAATTGACTTAGGTGCTTTTCTCTATTTTAGAGCCAAATTTCTGTAATCTATTAAGTATAGTGAAAGAATCAATAAGAACCAATTCACCTTCACTAACTACTCGAGCTGCAAGAAGAAGAACTAGAACAATATTAAATTTCAAAAATAAGTGACATTTGTTGCAGTTGCATGTTTACGACACTGGAAGTGGAAGTCAAAGGTAGTAGAACTAGAAGAAGTCCAACACCAAAGTCCACCATGCTCTGGCACTGTTACTCAGTCCAAACTCCACCCTTTCTCCTCCAGCATCTTTTGGCATTTCGCATTGTTTCGGATAACCGGAGCCATGGACTGATGGCCCGAAGCTTCTAGGTCTAGAATGCTGGCACGAAAAAGCTCCCAGTCAAACCGTGTGAATCGTGCCCACTTTTCTGGGAGTGGCAGTCCTAGACAGCTCTTTTCACGGTTTACGCCAAGCAACAGCATGTGCAACATGTAGTCAGGGTCCGCCGCACAGGAGAGTTCTAGGTGGAAATACTTACAAGGCTTGTTCTCAAGTTTATACTCAGAGCCAGAAGATGATGTTCTTTGATGTAGTTTTTCTCGTACCTGCAAGTGTCGAGTTGTAGAGGTTGCGTTTGCGACGAGATCTGCTCCGCCTCTACTACTAGAATCCGAGGACCACTGCAAGTGTTTCACGTCTAATCGATCAATGGGTATCAGACCTAGACTACTACGAAGAAGTTTGTTGTGTAAGCCTCGATAATGGAGCTCCTCCATCTCAGGGTCAGGGGATAGGATATAGCAAAAAAGGTCCTCCTCATTTGCATTCTTGTATATCGAAGACTGGCGCTCGAGAAACAGGGATTGACCATCGATTCTGACTGTTGATGCAGTAGTGTTCTCATTCTCTTGGGTTCTCGTGGCAATGTTTTGGTTTTGGTCCGCTTCCGATCGTGCTCCCTGCCCAGTAGCAAGGCCAACCTCATCATGTTTTTCTTCGTCCTGATTACCCGTAGCCGTATCCTCCTCAAGCCATTTTGTTTTAATCTTTGTTTTTGCGTCGTAGTTGTGATATATTTCGGCATATCTGTCTATCGCTTTTTCGACTTGGTGAACAGGACGAAAATGCTTGGGATTTTGGAACATGCGGAGAAATCTCTGCGTTCCTCGTTTTTTCTCATATTCTGTCCGAGTAACGCAGACCTGCGTGTTGGGGACGTAGGCGAAACGATCGTCGTGGAAGTTGACTTGATGTTCTGGAGTTTTGGAAGAGGAAGTTGTCATTGTCGTCTTCGGCGTTGCAACATCACTTGTTGAAGGTGAAGGAGCCACCTCTTAGAAACAAACGGACAATCTTAAACCTCCCACATAGGGAAAATTAGGGAAAATTAGGGAGCCATAATATCCCCTAACTTTCCCTAAGTTTTGACCTCCTCCACAAGCGTGTCCGTTTGTTCATAAACCTCTGCATTTTTGTCATCTCCTTGACTAGTACTAGTAGACACTTTCCTGCGCTCATGCACAACATCATGATCATCTTCATCCACTTCTTTATTAATATCAGCAGCTCCTGCTCCTTCATTTCGTCTTCGACTTTTCTGTCTTATCAGCAGATGGAAATGGAGAAAAAAGTCCTTTCTCCACAAGGCACCGTAGTCGCCGGTCCATGGGTGAGCGAAAGTCTCGAAATATGACTGCGGATCCCAACGAGAGGATGGGAGAGAGAAATGATTCTTCTTATCTTGATTCTTCTTCTTTGTTGATGCAGCTTGTGTTCTTGATGATGCAGCTTGTGTTCTTGATGATGCAGCTTGTGTTCTTGATGATGCAGCTTGTGTTCTTGATGATGCAGCTTGTGTTCTTGATGTTGAAGTAGAAGTAGATGTAGGATCATCATAGATACTACTAGGTGTAGTTGCTGGTGCGTGTTCCGAAGTACTACCAGATGTTGACGCTCCTTCGGCTTCCAGACTAGTCCAACTGTGTTGTACTGCATAGCTTGTCGGAACCCGTTTACACCCTATCGCGTCATATCCAGCTAGGCCTTCAAGAATGCTGTCCCATCGTCGCCCACTGGGTCTCATCAAACGCATTGTCAAGGTATCGCGGAAGTGCTTGTGATGATAAGGATCAACATCATGCTGTTCTTGTTGACCTTCTTCTTGTTCTACTTCAACATGATTTATTTCATCTTTGATATTATCTTCCATTTGAGACAAAGACGAAGAGGCTGTGCTGCTCTTACTGTCAGATGTTGATGAAGTAGAAGAAGCGCGACCACCTTGCTCTTCCTCTTTTCCCACATCATCTTGCATCACTTGTCTCACATCCGCAACTTCTTCTTCAGGAATCTCCAGTCTGCTATCAGTCGGCTCCCTTAGAGGTCTCCCTACCTTGATCGTCGGGTCTGGTGTGGACGCGAAGAGTGTGAACAGGTTTGACTGAAACGCACGTCCGTGCGCCACTTTCCAATGATGATTCTTTTTGGCGTAGTAGGGTGCGACTACTTCATCCACAAAGGTGCAAGCAAAGCCGTGCTGAAACAGGATAGATTCCAACTTGGGCAGTTTGTCTAAAAAATCTTCCTCATCCTCAAACATCACCACATAATCGACGTCTTCGCCACCAGGCGCCTTGTGATCTGGCAACATCTCCTCTTGCATATCGTACTGCGTGCGCATCTTTTGCCTGTAGTAGTTCTTGTTCACGTGTTCGGACCCAAGAAAGAAGCGTAAGAGCCAGTCTGGATGATCTTGGCGGAGATCGCGTTCGAAGTGGGGATGTGTTGTTTGTTGTAGGAGGTGGAGGAAAGAGAAGGCGTGATCCTCTTGACCGGCACGGGCAGCTTCAGGAGACGAAGATGACGAGTATGAAGATGTAACCACACCTGCGAGCTTCTGCAAATAGGAAGGGAGCAAACTTCTCTCAGGATTCCGCGGATTTCCTTCGCTCCTCTCAAGAAACGTCTTCAATCGCCCGATCTCCTGATCTGTGGTTTCGTCGAAGGCCACATCCCTCTCGTTCTGCCAGTAGTTTTTACCCAAGTTAGCTACGCGTTCTGAGTAGGTTGCTTTTCCTTCTTGCGCTCGCTCACCAGTCAGTGGTAGTTTCGGAAACCATTTGGTTTCTTGAATGAGTTCTCTCTGATGTGCTGGCATGGCAACCCGGACAGCATTGGCAACCGAGGGAAGGTAAGCTTTTTCAGTTTCATTCAAGGACAAAGCATTGGCGTATTCCCAAACAAGTTCTTCAGGTAAAACAGTCCCATCACGCTCTAGTCTCGATAAACGTTTTGCAGTTTCAAACGAAAAACTAGAAGTAGAGCTGTTGTTTACCGCCAAAGTCATGGGTTCTTGCTCTTGTCCTTTTGCTCCTATTTGTGTCGTGCTAGAAGGTAGCGAAGTTGATGGGGCACGACTGCGTTCTTGTGTTTGAAGATTTTGTCGAGCTTGTTCCTCGTGTCGTTGTTGTTGTTCCACCACTTGTTCTCGTGCGAGGATGTTGATTTCGTCTTCGTCTTTTGCACGTGTAACCAGCTTGCGTACTTTTCGTTCCGCAAGGTACTCTAGAACTTCTGCTTCCAACAGTTTGCGAAGACGAATTCTGCTTTTGGTCCAAGTGCGTTTAGTGTTACTACTTGAAGCAGAAGTAGAAGATGTTCTAGACGAGGCTTCATCTTCATGTTCGTCATTCTCGAGGTCGACTTCCTTCCTCGACATCATCACCAATTCCCGCAACTTGTGCATTGGACTTCGAGCGCCGTAGCGCATCGTTTGGATTAGCAAGCCGCCTCCTACGTAAGCATCTAGCCCCAACTGATCGAAGATGTGCTGAGCAATCTGCGTACTTTGGATGTGAAAACTGTCTGCTGCTCCGCCACTGATATGACCCCACTCTAAGCTGCCGTCCAGAGCGAGCGTGCTCAGCAGCTTCTTCAGTATGGCAGCTCGTTGATGCTGCGTCAAGGAAGTGCCCACAGTTGCGTCTATGACGGGAGATAGGCGTTTCACCTGTCCGATGCCATAAACTTCGCGTAGGGAAGTGGGATATTTGCGAGAGGCGAGAAACACAGCGGATTGGGACAAGGTGGAAGTGGAAGATGATGCATTTCTACTAGGCGCAAGACTTGTCGTAGTTCCTGACGATGTAGAAGTCTCCGAACTACTCGAACCCTCCTCAACATTCATCCAACCTTCTGCCTCCAATGCCTCCCGCTGTGCATGCAGCTGCGCTACTTGCACAGAGTAATCCTGGTGGCCGTAGTTGAGGTAGGTCTCAACTTTATCGCCATGCCTGTCGTCGTCGTTGTCCTCTGGTCGGAAGAATTGAGATCCAGTTTGGAGCTGGTTGAGAAGGAAGGAGTGTGAGGGATCAGGATCCAGCAGAGAGTTGGCCGCGCTCCTGCTAGGTCCTGATGTAGTAAAGTCGCTTCCTTTCACATCCAGATCTAGCATTTTGTCCCTCTTTCGTACGATCATCGGAATACTCACTCCCTGCATACCGCCAGTGCTTTCCTCGTATTGCAATAGCGCTAGCCGTAAAACGGAATTTTCTAGAGGAAATTTGCGATTTAGTTCCGTCCAAAACCCTAAGATACTCTTTACTGTAGCAGCTGCTAGATGGGGCAGTCGCTGACCTGCGCGCCGACTAAGTCGATCTAAGTCGGCGTACTCGGTAGCGAACATGCTGTTACTACTTTGTGATGAAGGTAGGGCATCTTGGTCCGGGTTGTGCGTAGAAACGCGTAATCTGCCATCCTGGTGGTCGTTGGCACTACTAGTATTATCCACTGTACCAGAAAAATGCACTGCCTGCGCAGGAGTCCCAAGAGTAGTAAAGAGCGATCGCTGTTCTGCTTCTATCTGTCGCAGATGTGGTCCAACGTTTGGTGGCGTCAAACCTTCAAGAACATCAACATCATCTTCATACTGGACAACAGACTTGTGATAGCGCTCCAGTGAGTCGTGTGAATCCAGAAGTTCTAGAAGATCTACTTTTTCATCATCCTGTACTATAATCTTCCTCTTTTTCCTGCAAAACGCTATCCACTCCAGTAACGTCTGCGCGTCGCCAGCTTCGCGGACAAAGTTTGCGATTCCAGAGCCTAGTCCTGGGGCACGCCATAGTGCTGCCATAGACACTACGAAATGTTGCTCAAGCCAATTCCAGAGGTTTCCGTACTTCTGCTGCCCCACTGCAGATCCGACGGTGGAATCGTGTCGATGGAATTCTTGTTCATGCTCGTCTAGAAGTTCTTGGTCTTGAAGTTCTGGTTCATCGTCTTCTCCATGATGATCTAAAACTTCTTCTGCTTGCTTCTTCAGTTTAACGTCCACTCCCCAAACTAGCGATGGGGTTTCTGTTCGATGGTAAGCCAAACTTTTGTAGGCGAGCTGCTCTCGCAGAGACGGTGACCCACCACCGTGATGCTCTCGCTGAAGAGGAGCTTTATACTGCAATCGATGAAACATCCGCGAATGCCACTCACGAGTTGCGCTAGAGGAACAGGCTAGAGCAGCAGTGGTTTGTTCCCTCGCAGTCGGTATAATTGGTTTTGCTGTACCAGTGCTAGCCGTGCTAGTATTGTTTGCTTTTCCACCACCATTCTGTCCTCCACAACTCACGTCCATCGGCAAGGTGTTAGGATTTGGTGACATCCAAGTCTCCGCCACATGCGAATAGTAGGCGCTAGCTGCTGGGATTACATCAGGTATTTCGCCATAGTCCAAAATGATCGCTGTGTCGCATTTTGAATAGATGTCCTTGTGGTGGACGGCAATAGACATAGATGTCCTTGTGGTGGACGGGGGCTTGGTGATGTCAGGGCTTACACTGTTTCAGATTGTTCTTGAAGGATCAAACAAGTACTTAGATGCTCTAACACCTTAAAAGTTTTTTCAACAGTGCTGAAAAAGTTTAAGACGAAAAGTTCTCAAGATTGTTTAACCAATGTTGCCATACATATGCTAATTTGGGAAAGCGCAATTGATGACTCAAAACGTGCTCTCGAAGTGTCGGATCTGCTCTCAGTCTCTTCGCACGACACAGTTTCGCCCATCTTCGGCTGGCTTTGGTCTTCGTCGGGCCAAAAACAGCTGTCCTGTTTGGTCGATGTTCCGCATATGGTGCCAGATGCCATCCCTGTCTTCTTGGTGCCTTTGATGCAGTGGTTTTTATTGAAGGTTCTTTGCTGTTGGAGGAGTGCTTCGCCTGTGTGGATGACGTCGTAGTTGTAGTACTAGTAGTTTGCGAAGCAGCTGAGGATGCTATGAGTTCCTTCACTTTATTCTCGGGATCCTCTTTCACAAAGGATCGCTGATGCGCATCCCAAATCTGGCTGCCGACAAAAGCGTTCTCGTCAATATCCATCGCCTTTAGCATAATCCTCGCTTCGACTGCTTCATCAGGCTCCAAAGGGGTCTCTCGAACAACTCGCATTTTCTTCTTGTCGGCAACTGTAGTAACGTGTTCTTCTGACAACAGCTCCTGATCACCTTCGCAGGTCGTGTCCTTAGCGCGTCGTCGTCGTCCGTCTTGAGTTCTTTTACCTTTCTTCAGGCTATTGCTGTCCTCCATTTTCTTTTTCGAAAAACCATGAGCAGGACCACGCCTAGTTATTTCATCTTCACTACCACCACGAACAACCCGTCGTGCATTCTCTTCGCTTGCTGTCAAGGCAAAGAGCGGATCTGCAGTTGGAAACAACAATTTATGATCGTTGACCCAATTCACATAGGTGTCGTCCAACTTGCCGCTCGTCACAGTGAGACCAAGCAAGGCCAGATGTGACGGATAGCAGTGATGTCGTGTGACGTTCCACCCACCGCCGCTGAGAAACCAAGTTATCAAACCCGTAGACCGTGCTCGCATCTTCAGCACCTCGACGCCCTCTCGGACCACGACTGCTTGGTTTTCAGGGTGCATTATATCGGAGAGCTGCCGTTGGAGAACATGGAAATAGTGCGCTATGAGAGACATTACTCCTGAAGTTGAATTGACGTTGCTACTTTCAACATCATCTTCTTTTTCCATGTGAAAAAGATGCTGATCCTCTGGTAAGAAAAAATGGTGGAGGTTCAAAACCTTTCGCAGAAAGTTCGGTTCGCCCCTGCTGCTACTTGTACGCCTTCTGGATGTAGAAGTCGAGGTTGTTGAAGAAGAATCTGAACTACTTCTAGAAAATCCAACGACTTTAGCTTCTACATCTGATGTTTTCCCTTTTGCCCTTCTCCACTCATCAGCCATTAAACTGGAAACGTGTTCACTAGGCCCAATAAACGGGTGTAGAATCTTAGTCAGCCATCCGAAGAGATCTGGGAAATTGTACTCACCAGAAGATGGTGATGGTTCCTGTTGTTCTATTGCTTCTCCTGAAGATGATGTAGTACTCACTTGCGTACTAGCTGTAGTACTTGGTGGAGGCAAAGGATCACTGTTGTTTCTATAGACGACGAGTTTTTCAAGTCTCATCTCTGGGCCTGGGATGTTTGGATCTCTCCAAAACTCCTTACTTGTCCTAGATTCTTCAAATATGCTGCCTCCACATCGCATATGCTCCCACGTTAAGTCCCACAGGTTCAAAGGTTTCAAAGAGTTAGCATGAAGTAGCTCTGCCATCACTGCTAAACGTCCCGAAACATCGTGGCGGGATTCCACCTCTCCTGCTAGGGTCTCAGAGGGCAAGGCCAAGGCGAGTAAGAACGCCAACAAGACGAGAGGAAGGTGGAAAGGAATAAACATCATCTTGTTGACTGGCCCCGCTGGCAGCGAGGACGCCGGCCAGTGGCAGTGCTCTGGATTTACGTTTTTCTTGTCATGTGCAGCATAATATTCTTGTTAGCTCATTCTTCAAGAGGAACTGACCGCTGCATCACGATCACCTGTCTATTCAAGAATAGGCGAACAAGCCAAACCTCAGTCTCGGATGATTCTCCGGGACGGCCTCCCGCAGGAGTGATTCTCTCGCGTCTCTCATGATCTCTCATGATAGGTCTTTGCGTCTTGCAGCAAGGTATTGCTCTGTGTCTCTCCTAAAAATACGCGTCTAAGTATATTAAGGAGAGACACAGAGCAATACTTTGCTGGACAATCCGTAGGTTCCAAAAACATAAGCGGGTGCAGCGGGTCGTCGTCATCATCTGGGCAGACAATGGAGGTCTAGTTATGACGACCGCTGAAGAGGATCACCTCAAACTACTAGGTAGTTATTCTGCAGGTAGTTGCTATAGATTTGTTGCTGTTGCGTTGAAAAACAAGCTGAACAAGAACATCAAGAGGATCAAGAAGTAAATGTAGTTGTAGGCTGAAGATGCATCAAAATTCCAAAATTAGCGCTAGACGAGATGCTTTACATCATTCCCATCAAGGCATTTATATCAACTTCTTGCTCCAAACTTTCGGCTACACAAAATTGCTCTGTCTCTATTTCGTGTTCCAGATCGTCCGCGTCTATGAAAATCTCGTGATGCTGATCTAGCATGGCAGACGACGAACGATCTTCCGATAAAGGAGCTACAGTAGATGAGGAAGGTGTAGGTGAACCGCACAAACCGTTCTGGACTTTCAGTTCTTGGAGGGGAACAGGCCGCATCAAAACAGAGCTCTCGCATGGACCAACGTCATGCAATTTGCCAACATCTTGTTCTTGGTCGTGGCATGCACCTCCAGAAGAAGTCGTGTGCCTGGTGCTGCTAGGTCGATTCCTATCACCTGTAGCGTTGCTGTCCTGCGCCAACGCATGACTACTGTGCTGCTGCTGTTGTTGAAGCAGTGCTTGGTACGCTGCAGATGAAGGCCTACCTCCAGACGTGGGTCGCGACATTGACATGCTAGATTTCAGACCGGGAGCACTGTCAAGGGTCAGATTCACGACATGCTGCGATGTTGACTGATGCGGGTGTAGTATTCCGAGATCTGCTCCTGCTCCTGTTCCACCTCCTTTTATAATATGAGATGATATCGCACTCGCATTTGCACCTCTACCACTCCTTCCTGCACTTGGTGGCCGTCTGGAAGAGGAAGACGAGGAAGGAGTCGGGTTGGTCAGGTTGAAGGATGACATCGACGCTTTCCTGGGGGTTTTCGTTGATCGACCATAGGTGTTAGACTTATTGGCAGCAAGTCGCATTTCTTCCAGCCCATTGTCCTCGTTATCGTCTAGGGTTCTAGTCTTCGATCTTGAGGCGGGGATAATTTCCTGGCATATCATATTCTTGTCAGGATCACCTTGTTCTTCCTGGATGTTTATCATATCGTAGTCATCATCTGCTACTCTACTTCGTCGTGGTCCATTGGAGGAAGAAGATGAAGATGAGGAGCTATTATAATTTCTTGGTGCAGGAGCACCTTCGATCCCGCGGCCTTTAGTACTAGTACTACTAAAGGAAGCAGAGGATGCTCCACCATTCGTTTTCGTCATATTGTCCAACGTGGATCTCTTGAGCATTATCGCGTCAGGTCCTGTGGCCTTGCACCGTTTTACGTGTTTCACGTAGGAATCGCCTGCGAAAGTGCGTAGACAGCGTGGACACTGATTTCCGTTCGCGCGTCCCGCTTCGCGGTTCGCCGTCTGCGCTAGTTTCGGAAGTTTCGTTATCTTGCCTGCCGCTTTAATCTGCGGAATGTAGTTCTCAGCCGGCGTCCCTCGCAAGTAGTGCGCAACGAGATCTAGTTTCGCTCGCTTCGGTTTACCTGCCATGCACCTTGTCTCATGCTTCGCGATGCGATCGAAGCGAAACTTGCGCCCACAGTATTTACACCCCTCCAGGACAAGACCAGGCTCCAAAATCTGTCTTGGAATGTCTTCCAACAGACGTAGCCAGGTTTGACTGCCTTCCAGAGTAAAAGGCTCTGGAAGGAGGAGCACTTCCTCAACACCTTGTTAAGAAGGAAGATGTGGGGAAGACTCGTCGACTTAGAGTAGAAAGAAAGTGGTGGTGACGTGTACTATCTGTTAATGATTTCACAATCACAGCGTGGTCAACTTCAAAATCATGTACGACAACGAGGACAAGCAAGTTTCAGATGCATTACAATGTAGCAGTACTAACAGGCGCTGTTACCTCCCGAGGAAGCCAATCCAGGTGTCGCCTGTTTGCTGTTTTTAGTAGTAACGATCCCTAGTCCACCTGCTCCGCCTTCGAGGGCCGCTGCTGCAGCTCCTGCAGCAGGTGCTTTTTCAGTCTGTGTCTCCAGGAACCCCATCGTCTTCATGCACGATTAGAATGTGAACGACGGGAGTTAGAAGAGGTGGAATGCGTGTGAAGTAAGTAGTGAGTCGTTATTTTTCTTATTATATCAGAAATAGAAAGCACCTTTCGCGTTCGAAAACGCTTGACTTTCTCCATATTTTCATGAGCTGCATGTAGTTGTGCATGTACATCTGTATTACCAACCGAAACACGCTCAAGCACCGCCTTAACATGCTACCGCATTACTCCATTGGCCCACTGCGTCTCGAAAGGCTTCGTTTTTCCGCTTGAGCCTCCGATATTTCTTTTCAACACCTCTTGGAACGGTTGCATTCGTTACCACAGCACGTAATCTTTCGATGCAGAGACTCCATGCTTTCTCAATCATAATCGGATCTGAGAGAGTCTTACTGCCACAAATCTCGGATCGGAGAGCATCGAGGTGTTTGCCTAGCGCATGCGCATGTGCGCGCGTGAGATTAGAGGAAGAGGAGGTAGTAGTACTATGTGGCGTCTGGGAACAAAGAGTAGTATCATGACTTGACGTGATAGCGTTCCATAAGCCTCCCAATGCATCCGTGAAGGAGCAGCTGTTACTCGAAAAACTGAAATAACCGAGTAACAGACGAGAATAACCGAAGTACTGAACAAGGAAGAGTAGCCTTTCAAAACTACGTCCCTTAAATTTCAGTCAGTAACTCTCTCGGTCATTTTCAGTTTTCGATTACATCAATCAGTAGAATACTAGACTGACTAGACTAGAAGATTTCATCCCCAAGATGAAGCCATAATCAACGCTTCTTCAGATTCTTCAGCGTCCTTCTCCTGCCCACTAGAAGTTCCAGCCAGAAGGGTTCCAACTGCCTCATTCTGCAGCCTTAGCTGCTCTCGACATCCAGCTTCGTGGGCTAGGATGGACTGTAGACGGAATTTCTCGCCGCACACTCCACATGCAAAACGCCCTTGCTTGTCTGGGAGACCTAATCGTACTTTGGGAGAAATCGGCCATGGGCAAAGGTCAAGGAGAAGATCACAACTTCTAGTTGTAGTTCTTCTGTATAAAACGCCATCTTCACCAACTACTACATTTATTCTACGTACTATGTTTACCTAATTCCCCTCGTTCCAAAGCTGAAAAAGCGCCTTTGATATCTTTCACACGTTGCAAGAACTCCCGTTTCTTCTCTTCTGGAACTTCTCCTGCGTTGTCCCGCTTGACCATCTTGAAACATCTATAGAGGTGGAGACGATTTTTGATTGTGATTGAGCTTGACCTTGAGGACTGATGACTCATAAATAAATGTGGTCGATAAAGTCACCTGAGCCAGGCTCTGGGAGCGGATCATTCTTATTGAGTATGCCAATGCCTATAGCACTAGAGTTGTAGCATAACAGGAATTTACTACAACTCTCCTAATATACCGTTTCTGATGTTCCGCCAAGTCTTCTTTTGCGCAGGGACGACCACAGGATTGGCAGTTTACTAGCCCGTTCAGGAACCTTCTAGCGCATGTCCTAAGATGGTGCTTCATGGAGCCAGTGGAAAAAAGGCCACCGCACACTGGACAGCTGATCGCATCACGTCCTGCACCCCAACGCATCATTTTGATTGTGATTTTGTGATGTTCTTGTGATGACTTTGAGTGATGATTGATGTGATTGATCTTTAGGGAGATTCTCTTAGCGTCGTCGGTGTTGTTGAAAGGTGATGCTGCGAGGAAAAAAGCGGGCAGGTAGGCTTAGGGGGAAAGAAAGAGACAGAAGTCAACACTTTTTTTTCAACTCTTGTACCATGGTCTATGACAGGCTCGCTGATTTTCTTGATCGCTTCTGTGTACCATGTGGTCGAGTAATTTCGCTTCATCTGTTTCATCGCCATTTTTTGTTCTTCTTCTGGGTGATTTTGGTCTACTACAACTAGCATCTCTGACGTTTCGCCATTTCGTTTCGTAGCAGTTTGCCACTCTTGCAAGTTTGCGTCGATGCAGCCTCTTTGTGATAAGAAAATGAAACAAACATGATACACATGCCTCAAAATTTAAGACAGGTATGCCATCATGAGCTGTCGTCGCCGTCATGCTAATGGTCGTGCAGGGATCGACTGCCAAATATTTGTGGGAATGTCCGAAAAATTCCAAAAATTTGTAACGGAATCAAGGTGGTGGCCCCTGACCTGTAAAGTCCTATTTGCGTAGTTGCGAAAGCCGTGAAAGTTAAAAGTGGTCATATAGTTGGACAAGAAAGATGAAAACTTCTTCTCGTATTGGAAATATCGTCAAGCAAGTGTGCGTTGGTTAGCGTTGAATGGAAAAGAAGTTTTTTCTCGGAAACGGAAAGAGCGTTCTCAATAATTAAATTGCACAAAAATTCACCTCCTAGTAGACAGCGGCTGTCGACTCCCCACGACTCACCACAACCATGTCGTCACCATTGTTCCCCCAACATCTCGCCAAAGAGGGTTATTAGCTGTCGGTCAAGCTGCTTGTGGTCTCTGGTCATTTCGTCAAATCGCTGGTCCAAGAAGGACTGATACCTCAAGCAACTGCAGATATTGGTCACGATAACCTCGAAGTCCCGTAAGGGGGAGGTTAGATGGTGGGGAAAGAGCAGAACCGGAAGGAGTTTGCACCTCCTGATCGTGAATTCATCTTGAAATCTCGAATTTTCATTTACTCAGAGACTACTTATTGAGATACAACTACTTATTGAGATTTTCATTTTCAGTTTGTTAATTGCCTCTGACCAGACATCACGAGGATACTCAACTAGTAGTTCTTGAATTACCACCTTCGTGGTCGTGCTCCTGGTCCTGCTCGTGCAGTAGCTAATAACTAGACTAGTTAAATAATGAAGGTTGTATATTCAACAAACGCGACATACGTATTCTTTTGCTTCGTTAGCCACTACCCTTGCGTTCATCCCTTTGACCGCCATCGTCGTCGCATTCTTACCAATCTTAAAAGTAGTATCTCAACATTATCTGTCGTGACTGTAGTAGGTGAGTTTCCTATATTAATTCCTTCTGGTGTCCTCCTGATCGTGAATTCATCTTGAAATCTCGAATTTTCATTTACTCAGGAAAGGGAAACCTCTAATATCACTATTAAGCCGAAGCGGAAACCTCACTTTTCACTAGATAATGGAGCTACAACCCGTAGCCATGCCAGCTTTTTGCATCAGGTTGGACAAGACGTCTTCCTTCATCTTTTGTCGGTCGCCAGAACTTGCGGAACCTACTTTCTTAGCGCTAGTAGTTGTTCACTATCCCTGGTTGACGTTGAGTCACGTTTTTGATTCCTGCTTGACGTTGAGTGAGTTCCTGGCCTTGTATCTCGTCCCTTTTTAGGTTGTTGTTCCCCTTCAAGAAATCAAAGGAGGGGACTCCACTCAGCATAGTTCCTTCACTTGTTGGGAGAGTGAAGAAGTAGCCTTAACTTTCGGAAAAAGCAGCTCCTTCGGTATTATCCCATTGACAAGGTCAGAATACATCTTCTCTTCGTCGTTGAGGATGAAGGAAGGGAGAAGAGCAAGAGAGGACATACTACTTACAAGAGTAGCAGGGCTTCTAGTACTAGTAAGTTCTATTACGCTCTATAAGTCAATTAAGTACTTAAATGCCTCCTGTGGACCTCGACTTATGCTTCTTCAGTCTTCGTAACATCCAATCGTTTTTGCAGTTCTTTGGCATCTTCCTCTGCTTCCTGTCGATGCTGATACATGGTGCGTTTAACACGTTGATCTTGACCTGGGAGCTGATACCTCCCCTTCCGGATACTGTCGTCTATGATGTCATCTTGGGCTTCGTCCTCTAGCATCTTGAATACCAGCAGCTTCAATTTCTTCCGGTATGAAGGGAGAGCAGCAAGTAAACTGGTCAATGCTGGTAAGTCTAAGTGGAGTCTGATCATGATTGTCACTACAGGCAGAGATCAAGCAAAATAACTTTAAAGCCAAAGAGTGTAAGGCATTGATTTAACGAACTTGTTGAGGAGGTTGAGAAGCTTTCAGCTCTCAGCTGTTCCTAAGTGGTCATGCAAAATACATTTCTACTCATTTAAATAGGAACTAGGAAGTATGTCATCGTGATGAAGATGATGATGGAAAAGGACTTTATCGGCCTTTTCATGAGCCTTAACATGACTCTATCCGCGCACTTCGCACGCTCTGGATGCTGGTCGTCGTAGTAGGGAAGACTCGCTAAGTCGTCGCGGGTATTCCTTTCTGAAGGATACCCTCCGAACGCAGACACATTCGCGGTTGCCTCCTTGTTTATTATGCCGTCTCTGGATAGTTTAGAGTTGATTTTGCAGTTGCACTTTATTGGCAGTATGAGTTGTTGTGGTGGTCCAACATGGACATCTGACTCGAAAACACATCAAAAATATCAAAAAAAATGGCTGCATTTCTCGAGCCTTAACCGCTTGTGCTTTTTTTATGGATTCCCGATTGTCTTTCCGGTTCCTCAGCCACTGAAACGTCTTCTCCCAGTATTTCAGGTTTGGCGGGTCCCTATCCAATTCGTTGTACGCCTCGTGGAACTCGGAGCCTACAATTCCTACTGGCAAAGAGAGAATCAAAATACCGCAAATTGTTACCGCCAGGGATTAGAAGAAGCAGTGACTGGAGATGGAAACAGTTGACCTGAAGAACTTGCCATAAATTCCAATATACTTTCCCAACTCCGTTTGTGGGAAGAAGTCACCGTATCCGACTGTCGATACCGTCACGAGTGACCACCAGAGACTGGAGAGGACAGATAGAACAACAAGAGCTGAGAAGTTTTCAATTGAGGAACAAGAAATCCATCGAGAATAAAGGCACGACAGACGATTATTAAGTAGAATGATGTATGACTAGTAAGATAACTCGTCGGACCAAGCTGCGGACTCGATTCCCTGTGAAGATTGATAAATGAAGATTTCAATCAACAATCCTTTGCCAATACCACCACTAGTAAATATTATGAGTAATTATAAATACCTGTGTATAATCGATTCAAATCCTTTTGCGGCGTATGCCCTTTCATCCACATCTGAGGCATGAGCGTTAAAAACTTCGCAGCAAAGCTTATCCGCATGCTCTAGCGATCCTCGACTTGTGTATCCTTGGATTTTCGTCTTACATTCTGTCGTGTAGGCTGGGAGTTAGAGGAGGAGGAGCGAGGAGGAGCAGGAGGATGACACTGCTGCAACATGAAGCACCAGAAGTTGTGTGTCGATGTAGCTATGTTGACGTGATAGTTGTAGAGGAACAAATTGAAATTCTTCGAAAAGTTCCTTGGGTCTCCGTCTTGCTGCTCCAGCGCCCATAAGTATAATCCGCTGGATTCGTGAGGAGGTCTTGAGGACAATAATACCTCTCCGCGTAGTAGATCAGCGAACCAAAAAAGACCACAACGATTCCCAGAATTAGAGATGTCGCGGAAATGATGAATTTTATCTTCTTAAAGGTTCCATCTGAGATGCACTTTTGCAAGAAAGTGCCTCTCATCAAGACGATCAACATTCAAGCTGCATCCATGCGCCTTAACAGAATGAAGAAGAGCACGAGAAGCGTGATCACTGCTCTGCTAATGGTCAGATGAATCAAGGCAACGCCAACGCGAAAGGATCCCAGCCTCAGCAGTCGAAAGAGTCGGACTAATCGTACGACTCGGAAAACACGCAAGACGGATACATCGATCAGAGATGCGAAAGCTGCTTCGAGGTAAGCAGGAAGGATGGCACAGAGATCCAGGATGTTTAGCGTGTCTTGCAAGAACTCCTTTCTCGTCTGCGTCCCGAAAACATTGCATACCCAAAAGCGAAGGGCAAATCTGATGTTGTGTGACTGTGGTTGAAGTGAACAAGAACCAACATGAACATCAACAGTATCAATAACAGAGAGAATAGGTTGTTAAAGACGAGGTGGCCAAGGAGAAGGACAAGGTCCTATTTTGAGTGAGAAGCTAAGTACTTAGAAGCCGTATTGTTTTTGAGCCAACCTAGCAACCACGTCGTGTACTAGTAAAGAGGTATTAGAAATACTCCAAAGTGAAAATTGCCGTGAAGACCCATTCGAGGATGCCGAACTCAGTTTCAAAAGATTTAGCCGCTGGAAAGGACTCCCACACAAACATCGTCACTGACGCAGCGATGCATCCTAGGATCATCACTTGGAGGATACGAGAGAAACGACCTGAAATAAGAAGTGGGTTTTGATTGTGATGATTGTGGAGGAAGAGCAGGACGGGATGAAACGAGATTGTAGAGGAGGCAACGTTCTTCAAGAACGCGCTACCATTGCTACTTTTACAATAGCACCAAGATGAAGATGATGACGTTGAGAATGGAATGGAAGCAAGTTGGACTTCAAGCTTGTGGAAAAGTGGAAGGTGTATACCTGCTTCTGGGACCTCGAAAATGAGGTAGATCTGGGCTCGAATGTCGTTGTTTGTGCTGACCACATGCTTCGGTGGTAGTTGCACACCTTAGAAGAAGAACAGGCTTTCACTTTCAGACCTTACTAATAATAATATCAGCAACTACAAGTTTCTCTTAGCTTACAACTAGTAGTGGATACGCAGAAAAATAGGTAAGGTAAAGGTTACAAAGAGCTAAATTTTCATGAAGGGACACAGACATCACCTGATCCATCAACAGCATCCATGAGAGAGTACGTAGGAATACTTATATATAATATACTACGTGTACTCATTTTCTAACCATCTCATTGATTCTTAACGCTTGCTCTGGATTTGGATGCCCTTCCTTTGAGTCGGCGACTGTGGCGGAGTCGCCACATCCCGATCGGGATCGTCGTCCATTTTTTGCAGCTCCTGGACACGCCAGCAACCTCTGGGCTTCTACAAGAAGAATTTTGAAGATCGGAAGAGCGACATACTAGTAACTGTGTACAAGAGCTGCACAAGTTGGTATTTGCAAGTTCTGTTTAAAGCGGTTCTGCTTATCGCGTGTCTGCGGACACGCACACTCAAGATTTTTCTCAGTAATCGTTGTATTTTCTTGGCCGCTTGGTTTCTCTTCTTATCCAAAAAAATGTACTTATAACCGTTTTCTCTTCCTTGTTTTCGTTCTACTTCTGCGGTGCATTTTCTTGTCCTCTTTGCGTTTTTCGTTTCCTCTCCTAGTAACATGCATCATGCAGGCGGCTTTCTTTCTCAAGAAGTACATCTTCAGGCTCTTCTTGAGTGGAATGAATGTAGTACTTCTAGTAGTTCATCTTGTCATCATGCTTCGTTCTACTTACATGTTTCTGTATTCTTCAATGCCAACAAGTGGTTCTTTACGCACACTTAGTAGATCTCCGTCTATCTTCGGCTCTTCTATCTATTTACTCGTGTCATCAAATGTCGTTGCTCATAGTCACGCTGACGCGCCTCGATGCTACAAATTATCAAAATCTTTTGAAGTGTGATGATCCTTTGTAGTATGAGAATCAGAATGTTGACGCTATTCATTGGAAACAAAATGTGGCCTCAAGATTCTACACACTTACTTCACACAGCAATGTCCAGCCCAATCAGCCCAAAAAAGTCGCTCGCCCTACTCCTCAATAGCATGTTTGCAGAACAGCTGCATATAAACATAGTATGAGCAGGAGGAAGAAATAGACGGATTAGATTCGATGTATAAACATAGATATAATTCTCTATACAAACGGAAGCAATCTGCACAAGAACTATCTTTATTTACTCTTTACTTCTGGGTGAGGCATCAACGTTCTCCATCATCCAAGGTGCAAATGATCGCCTTCGTGATGCCCCAGCTGCAGGCAATAGGCACCTCCTCGATGATCTTCACATTGAGCTTTAGAAGAGTAGCCGTTCCGGTTCCCCCTATGGTCGTGGAAGTGGTCCCCCAAAAATGCCCTAATAAATCCAGACAAACTCCTGTTTAGCGTTTAGTAAATAGATGAAGAAGCGTATTATGCATGTTGGGCGGAAACAAACTTACTACATCAAAAAAATGGTAAGCTTATAAGCTAAGAACTGCCTCTACCAGTGCCGCATCCACAATCAACTTCCACCCTTCAAGCCGTAAGTCCAACTTCAGTTGCAGCGTGATGATCAAGCAGGTCTTCGGGTCCACGTATTTGCTGAGATTCCGTCGAATATTGGCCAATAAAGGCGCTTTGAACATAGTCGCCGCGATGAAAACCACTCTAGCATCACCAGGCACCTCATAGGTATTGAGATCCTCTTCTAAAAGCTCGAACTCTGTAGTGGCGAGACGAGGGTATGAATGGGTTGGTGTCCCGACGAGTGGCACTTGTGAGCAGGTGCAAAGGCATGATCAGGAATAAAACGTCAGCCATATGAGGAGAGGATACTATGTCAGAGTCTGCAAACGGTGTAAGCTGCTACAATAATGATGAATAGAATAGACGGTGTTTAGCAAGAAGTTTAGCAAACTTAACTAAGATACATATTGTTTGAGACGAACTAGCTGCTACAATAAAAACAGCACGAGCATACAACGAGGAACCAACGTACGTTCATAGAAAAAAAATAAACAAGTTAGTTCTTCTGAAACAAGTCACCAGTAGACATGAAGACTGGATCAAATAGAGGTTTCCGTTTCACCTAGACATAAATGTTTCACAAACCCGTCCATGTCAGCCCTTTCGCCTTTCAGCAACTCCGTTCGGAGGTTTCTTGCTACTGACAGAAGGTCTGGGAGTAATTCGACGCCCACTGCTTTCCTGAAACGCCATTCCGAACAGGCAGACAAGTACAAGGACTTCGCAATACCACAACCAAGATCGTAGAAGGTTCCACCAATCGATTTTCTGTTCGCCTCTGGATATGAAGAACGAGATGAGGGTTGGGCGCAGTAGTAGATTGAACAAGCATTGTAAAGGGAAGTGGAATCACACGAAGAATAATGATCGCAAGAATTTTTAAAGGATTGACAATGGGAACTACAAGAACGACAACGATAAGAAGGTACTACTATAAATACTGCTGTAAATGCTTCAATAAATCGACGTTTGTTCTTTTCATTAATTATCTCCATAAAGGCCTAAAATTCGCATGCAACCGGTTCATCAGGGTGATAAACGTCCCCTCCAGGATTTCGCCATAGGTGAACTCTGTATTCCTACCAGAAGAGGATGAGGAACCGTTACTTGGAGATAAGCTGGCACTCGTCAAATGTTCTGTTGACGCAGACACTGAAATGCCTACACCTTTACTCAGACAACATTAGAGGTTGGGGTTGAACTCTAAGCCGTTCATTTCTACTTCGCGTCATTTCTTCAGGAGAACATTTACAAGGAAACCGAAGAAATAGCGAGGTGGACCGCGGAAGACCAAAGGACGCTATATCCTCTCAAATGCATATTAACAAGTTGTAGACCCCTTCCTCTCAAAGAAAATCAGCGTTGGAATCGGAAATGAATTGTATCAACAAGCCTTAAGAATACGCTTCTCGACGGAAGTAAGGTCGTAGACTCTGTAGACATTTCGCTGATTCTCCTCCATCTTTAACTAAGTCAAGCGAAATATGAGCTTCAGCAGGACAGCCACAATGAGCACAACGCCCGCCACCTCTAACTCGTGGTCCTCGAACTAGAGGGCCAGGAGGCGTCCCTTCACCTTGAGTACTACTAGCGGAAGAATAGCTAGAGCTCCAACTGCTTGTATTTTCTTCAGTAGTTGAGCAAGACGAAGAATCTTCTTCTTTTTCATCGGGTTGTTGAAAACTATGCTTTCCTTTTTCTAGTTCTTGTTTTTCCTCAACGCGACGTAGTGGATGTAGTTGTTTCTCTTTCACCCTCTGCTCCTGGTCTTGTTCATTCCTTTTCTTCTCTTCTTGATGTCCTTTTACTTGTACTTCTTGTTCACCACCATGTCTTCCAACAACATCTACAACTTGTACTTCCCGACCGAAACTACTATCAACAACATTTTCTTCTTCTTTTTCAAGAATTTCTTCATCTTCCTCCTCAGCAGACGTTGCTCTTGGACGAAACTCTGTACAGGCTTTACTCAAATCTCGCCAGTGGATACCTGGAGTTCCGAGAAAGGAATATCGTCTCACGCATCCCGGACAATGTCCTCGCTCAACACCCAGTCGATCACGCATATTCTTGACGATTGTCGGAGACGAGTAGACGAAGCAAGATGGTGTTGTCAACGTTGATTATGAAGATTGTTGAGTTTGAGATTGACGTTCGAATGACATCTGAAAATGTTAATGCTTGAAGATGTTGATTGTTATTGTCGATGATGGTTCATCGTTGATTGTCGTCGAGGATGATGAAGCAGGAGAAGATGCTGGCTTGTCCCTACGTATCGATCTCTACTCATAGGCAGAGGTGTGTTTCATGATGATATTCAGAACGAGCTCTGTCGTTATATTAGCTCTACAACCTATGAAGGATATGATTATGAATATGCCCTCTACAACTACCTCCCCTGTTTTGTCGTCTTGTTGCCATCCTACATGATCTATTCATTTTGATAGAAGCCCATAATTGTGCATCTTCATGCAGGATGTGGCTCATGTTCGACATTCGTAAAATAAATTGCTGTTCTAATTGGTTTGAATTAGTTGGGCTCGATTACATCGATAAGAGCACCGTGACTCTCCTTCTCTAGTGGGAAAAAGTATAAATTAAAATAATTGATTGGTTTCGTTTGAATCTGTCCTTCTCTACTACGTGTACGTACTACGTAAATCAATAGTACTTCTATGTACTATCCAAACGACAGTTCATACATTCTGTTTTCTAGTATTCCTTAGTAGTTATTTCCTGCTTATCACGGTAGTGCAGCGTTTTGGTTACTTATTCACTTTACGATAGGAGTTGGCTCGCCGTCCACAGTTTGACCTGCATCCTCGGGCGAACGTCCGTAGCCTCAGAGGGACTACCAAACAGTAAGAGTCTTTCATGCTACTTCTGCTTGTCGTATTATATATAGTAGGCTTACGGTTACGAAAAATTTTGAGTTGAGTCAAAAACAAACATGCAGCCTACGTTAGTAGGTGCAGTTCGTTGATGATACTGATAGGTTGATATTTATTGATTAATATTGTTGCTGTGTTTCCTACATCTTCACTTTTAGATTGATTGAAAACTCACGACGATTACTAGAAGATCCTTTTGAATACACTGTCTGACTGTATTTAAACTTATACTTAGACTTGGGTGTCGAGTAGTACCAGTACACTAGAATCTAATACCGGGATCCTCAAGCATGAGGCAGTGGATGATTCTTGTGACAACGAGAACGACAGGGACGAATAGGACAACCTTTACAATGACATGTTGATCTTGATACTAATGCATTGTGATAAGAAATAAAAACGATAAGAATCGCACATCATCACCCGAAAAAAGACCCATAAATCTTGGTATATTTATATCCACACAATGAAAAAGAATAAGAAGCAAGTTGACTTCTCAAAAAACGAATCACAATTATGTTGATCTCCCCCCCCAATTTTTTTCTTCTATGATGTCCTTTAGTACACATACCCTTGTTTTTGCAGATAAAAAAAGCTCGGCTTTTCGTTTTCACAAAGAGTTCGCCGCCCTCTACATTCCTTGCTCTCTCTTCGATTTCATCCCAGCCCTTCCCAGAACGAGTAAGTAGTCTCGTGACCCTTCCCAGAACGATTTGTAACATCGCAACCCATCAGAACAGCACAAGCCAAGGGTCTGTTTCTTCTCAAACTTTTAATACATGAGCTAAGTAGAACGACTGAGGCGTAGGCGCCAACTTTCACAATCAGTCAGCGCCATCGATTCCTATAAATATTTGCGCTGAGACCAAGGCCACACGACTGGGCCCAAGACACTCAAGCGCCCGCCGCATCGGCGTCGAGCGGCGCTGGGCTCGTCTTTCTTGCTTGTTCGGCCCTCTTGGCCTTGGTGCTCCTGTTCGCGGCTTCCTTCACATCAGCCGGCGGCGCCGGCGTCTGCTCGTTGTCGTTCTGCTGCTCGCCCTCCTCTTCCTTGAGCGGGTCTGTGTCCGTGGTTGCTCTTGCCTCTTCGGGCGACGCGGCCCCTTTGAGCGCATTCACCGTTGTGGCGAGTTCCAAAACCCAAGCGAAAGCCCACAGCCCGAGGAGGCAACGGGCAAGAACCTCAGCCAGAGCCGCAAACACAGCCAAGCCTACAATTCCACGCGCGTGGTGCTCCTCATTCTCCACCGCAAAGCCCTCCAGGAGGGCGGCTGCTCCCTCGCCCCACTCTTTCGCGCGCAGGGAGGCGCAGACCCAGACAAGAGTCCAGTTATAGAGGGCGGCCGGTCGCTCGAGGAGCTGCCTCCAAGAAGCGCATTCCGAAGTGATCCCTTACGGATGTATGTGAGGACGCGATGGGGTCTGACTTGATAGAAAAGTTCTCTAAAGGTGGAAAGCGACTCTGTAGCAACAGCATGTGCTCTGCAAGAACATGTGGGACCCGTTCGACATGATGACATACATCATTTTGGGAAGAGGAAATCCAAAAAGGCTGATGCCAATCTCAGAATCTAAATATCAACATCATCTCCACAGATCATTATGCGTTACTCCTCGGGGTTACAGACTTATTCTCAAATCGGAAGCTCAGTTGATGATGATGTTGTACTCTCTTATTTGCTTGATGGTGATGGACAGACGTGTTTTACAGAATCAGAAGTCTCTTACAGTGACCAGAACCCTTTTTGAGCTAAACCTTTCATGTTCCTTCGTAGGATCTGTGATGGTACCAAAGACATTTGTCACATACCTTTTTCTCACTTGAATATTACAGGTGACACCTTTATACTAGCTGGAGCGTCTTCACTCTGGGGTTTTGATCCCCGCTACAGATTCCTTATCGCACTCATGCAACAGAATTCAGCCTTAAGAGCACACGACATGCATATCGTGAAGATGTTCATGGGTCCTGGCTCTTCATGACGCACTGCGGCGCAACGTGATACTGATAGTTCTTTCAATGAAGCTTCTTCAATGAAGACGTACATATTTTTCGTTCTTCACGAGTAGTTTGGTAGAAGATCTTGATTTTGTTCGTCCTCGGAGTCGGTGTCCGACGAGGAGAATAATTATCTACAACATCTCTTCATCTACTCAGTACTATAATCATGAAAGAGACGAGAAAGTGGTGATGCACGAACCACGGATAAATTCACGTGAGGGAATAGAGCGGGAAGTCACTCTTTCTATAGCCCCTTCCCGTGTCGCTGTATGGTCCTCGTCCGTCTCTTGTTCAGATCTTCCCATGCAGACGAGATGTTGATCAAGATGATTCCTCGCCCAGTAGGAGCAGGCCTCCTTTAAAACAAGATATGATCGCCGCAGTCGCTCATGCTTCCTCGCCCACCGGCACTCCTCCACCGGAAGACAACATCACCGCTTTCTGTTCTCTTAGCTTTTCATTTTTCAGCATCTGAATATCGAGGATACCACGAGCAGCCTTGGCGCGTGCTCGCTCTTCCTCAATCCACTCGAAATCATCGGGCTTTAGTTTGAACCTTCAATGAAGAAACAGAACTGTCCTATTTCTGATTCATCCAAAGACCGAACAAACCGGAACGTTGGCTATTGAGGTTGTAGAACAAGTACTACTTAGGGGTTGATGTAGTCACAGAGCCAGCAAGCGTGATCAAAAAAATCATGATCAAAAAAATTTTAATCATGTTCATGTCTACAAGATGAACTAGCAAACAACTAGGCACTCACACATGATACATCACAGGAGTCGTGGGTATAGACAGTACATTGCATAGGCAAACTCGCATACGCAGAAGCAGAAAAGCGCAGACCCAACTGCAGGACCGATCAATTGTCGCTGCCATCGCGCTGTTTAAGGATGTAGGTGGAGGATGAAATGGATGTTCACGCTGTTGTACTTGATAATTGATGTACCGTTTCCTGAGGTAAACATCATCATCATCAGCATCTTCATCATCGTCATCTTCTAGGATGATCTTACGCTACTTCTATCTAAATATAGCATGCATGCGTGTTTAACAAGGGACGACAACGATACATGGCTTCCCTCGCATGAACTGGTGATAGTCGCTTCGCTTCAAATCGGTAGGGAGAGGAGCATTTTTCGGTCGCTTGTAGTTCTCCAAACTAGGAGCTTTCACATAGTGTTGATCTATTTCTTCCCACGTCTCCAGAGGCCTCTTTCCCGCACCCTTTGATGCCTCTACGTCTGTGATGGTCGCAAAACCTCTTGAAGCTCTGGCGTTGTATTAGAGGTTGCGACATTGCATTCTTCAGATCATCCCTGACCACCCTTTTCCTACTGGAAAAAAAGTCAAGGATGGTAGTGAAGACTTCAATGTGGTCTAACCCTTTTACAGGTAGGTTTTTGGTGCTCGCTTACCCCGCTTGTTATGCCTTTCTCATCCTAAGAGAGAGAGGCATAAAAAGCGGTAAGAAAAGCACCTTTAACCTACCCTTAACCCTTAACTGTAGGCGTCGCTCCAAGACTTCGGTCCAGCACAAGCGTTTCTGTTCGGAAACACGGAGCAAGCATTTCTGCTATTGCTGGACGACGAGCTGGAGGATACCGTTCGTGACAGCTCCATCAACTGTCTGACGCCGGATAAAGTGCAGCTCGAAGCACTCGTACGAGGACACGTATGGCATAATTGTTTGAGCATTTTTTCTTCGGCTTAAATAAACAAAGATAAAGAAGATGAGTCAAATCTTTAATATAAGAAAAATCAACAATAGTACAACCTCGACGTCCTGGCTTACTACTTTCTCGTCGGCCCTCGGAGGGTACCGGTATGAATTATACGTCGAATGCTTGTTTCTTTGACTTTGGTATCTCGTCTAGGAGGTTTCTCTTCCGCTTCCTTCTCATCTAAGTATTTCTCATGCAATTCCAAGTAGAAGCATTTCTCCTAAATGGTAATGCAGGTCGGGTACAGCTCTCCATGTCCATCCTCCTCATCTCATCTACTACTCCTAATCGATCGTCACATCATGTCTCTCGGGAGGGGAGAGCAACAGGTCTGCGTCTGACCTATATTATTCTCCTTTCATCTTCTTCATCACGCAGAGTCTGCATCTGGGAATACCACCGCCTTCGAGTAACGCCTCTTCTCCGAAGAGTCAACAGTAGCAGGAGCAACAGGTCTGCGTCTGACCAGTTCTTGCAGATTCATGATATTTTTGCTTGCTCACGAAGATGCACGTTATTTTCCATTTTGCTTCATTCAACTTGTATTTCTTTATGTTGCACCATACCTGCCTCAACAGTTTGTTAGGGCCACAGAGCAGGAAGAAATATTTCCACAAAGAGAAGTAAATACTAAGACATAAATTTCCTTGAGTATCTATAAGAAGATCACAAGATTTTTGATAGATGGACAAGCATTTCGGTATAAACAAGGATTAAAAGAGCTTCTTCGAGTATCGACAACTGCACGAGCACGACCTACAAGAACTACAACATAGCATTATTGATATTCATACAATTACAGGCAACAGCCCCTGAGCTGTACAATCCTGCTCACCTCTCAACCGGTGACGTCACGCAGAATCGACAGAGCAGCGGTTTGATCGTCGTATTCGTAGTGTGGTGAGATTTGCTCTTCCTGCTGTGGAGCAATCCCACATTCATTCTCCTCTAGTACGTACTGCTTGTTGATGTCATGTGGTTGTTGCACTATCACCTACACGTGGTACTGGTACACCTTTTCTTACACCTAGATGAAGTACTCGGTCGTTTTTTAAGACGACGAGTATCATCTGAAATATAAAAACTGATCCGCCGTCATCATGTGGGTGCATAATTGATGCATAATTATTCAGATAAATACCTAGTACGTAGGTAACATACCACCTTTCAGATTTTCCTGCTGATATTTCTAGCTATTGTAAGAGCGCAAGAGCGAGAAAGGCGAAAAAAAAAACAAACCATCAGGCAAATGGTATCGTCGCCACGAAAACTCGCTTTTAGTGCATTCATTGTGGTGTTAGTTGGCTGCCGCACGTTGTCTATCGTTGCTTTTGGAACCACAGTGAATTGTGGAAATAACCATCTACTTCAAAGAAAACTATTCAATCATCGACCACGCGCGACGCACCACAACTACTCAAATTTTGAAAATAAACTAACAGTACGTCGCTGCGCGCTGCTGCTCTTAACCTTAAGTAGAACTAGTCTTCTGAGTCCACTTCGAGGGACCTGCTTTTGTTACAAGATAAAAGCCATACAGAGGATTTTCCAAGAATTGAACAAAGGGGATAGTGATTTACTACCTCAAAGTCCTCGTCGACATAAATTATATTAATGCCGTTGAATTTGAGAAAGAAAAACAAGTTTTCATTACTAGGTCAATACATAGAATCTAGATATTCATTATGTTGGTCCTGCTTTTGGTTTTTGTTTACTTAGGTATAACATGGACACTTAGGTAGCTTCAGGTCCAGGGGAACTTAATATGCACAATGGCTGCCTCAACATGCGTCCCTGAACTCCAGATACGTTCTTGTTGATCTTGATCTAAGTCATCCACATAATTTGTACTTACGTTGCTCTCTTAGTTCGAGCTAATCTGAAAAATGGTATTGGTATCTATACTCTTATCAAGAATCATCTGGTACTAGTTTGAGGTAATGGTAATCAATCTCGATCTCCTGAAAGGTTATGTAAGTTGTAATCAATTTGAAAGGTTATGTAAGCTGTTATCGTTGTGATGCTTAATATTGTCTATGATGTAACGTGTGCAGCATGTTGTGTAGTTTTTATCTGTGTTTGCTGTGTACGAGTATAATCGCCGATATGTGAACGTATGAAATATCGTAAAAAGGTTGTTGTTTTGTTCTGTAATACGATCATGTGTTCTCACGTTGTCTTCATCTTGTGTCAAAGCGAATTGTAGAAGACGAGCGCCACTTCTTCTACAAGTGCGAGTTTTCTATCATCTCCGTATAGCCATGAAATTCGTTGGGGGAAACGAAGAGGCGCCATGAAACCAGACAGAGAAATTGGTATTCCATTGCATCGATTTCTTGTCTCTGCACACCACCCACTTTCGCGTAGTGAGCGTTGGAGTAGTATCTGACGTTTTGGTTTTTTAGGAAGATTTAGAATTCTTCTATAATTTCTTAGAAGAAAGAAATGCTGAAAACAACCGCAAGAATGGATCATCAAGAATAGGTCATGTTTTTTTTAGGCACAAGAAAATGAACTAAGTACTACATGTACATTATAAGAGTGATTCAAAAATAGTACATGTCGTCCCAATATTTTGTGGCGACTGTGAGCGAAGTCAGCAGCAGCCGATGAATATTGTTAGCGCTTAGAGTTATGACGTGCCGGTTCAGCGTGACCACCTGAGACGGCGGGTTTAGGTTGAGGTTTAGGTGAATAAGGAGGTAAAGCAAAATGTTGGGCTTGGAACTAGAAGTATTTCCTTTTGATGCGTTCAATCAACTACTAGCTGTCTCGCGATTCAACGCACTATCATTAACTCCGTCTTCATCCATGCAGCAGCAAAACCAATCAAAGCAAAACCAAAAGTAGTACCCTATCCACGTAGATGAAGGCTAAAACGAAGCACTCGTTTGAACACTGGAAGTATCGCTGTAGCCTATCCACGTATGACTCTATCGTCATATTGACGACTCCCGGAATATAGAAACGGCTCGCCTGCTGATCGGTTGTGTATAAAAAGTAGAAAACGCAGTACAACTACTTTAACTACTTCCACGACCTAGTTGTACTAGTACAATAGTGATGAAAGGACTAGACGGCGATTAGTATGAAAATTAGAACTACCCCTGCAGTAGATGAAGTCGTACTGGTACAAAAATAGATACGACAACGACTATTTCATATGCGAAGTCATCATCATTTCCATCATTTATAAGTACCTGCGGATGCGGACTTGGTTCTGGATATTGCGACAGTTTCTGCGCTTCCGCTTGTCCGGCGACTAGTCTGGAGAGAATTCTCGCTATCTTCGGGATCATGTCTGTGCCTATTCTCCTCACTTCCTGCAACGGATCTATATATTCCCGCGAATGCGCCTCTTGATCCCCGTCTATTTCTATCTGCTGATGGCTGCCTGCCTGATGCCCGCCTGTCTGGTGATGTCCGTCAGGCGGAGGGAGTTGGTGACATGAAGAAGGGCGAGTAGGTGGAAAGCATAAATTAAAAGATAATTCGAGAAGTCTGTGGCACCTGAATGGAACTGGAACAAGAAAGTCTAGGATATGAATCATCTTTATTTTTACGAACATGATTCATTCTTGTGCTGGTCCAACTTGTAGAAGAATTCTTAGAAGTCCTCTGAGTCAAAAGCAAAATATTTAAGGACATCAGCATAAATTTCTAGGTTGTGCCACGAGCGCACGTTGCTGAGCCAAATGCCGCTGTTGTTGGGCTGCCAGCGCTTGTTGCTGCGCTTGTTGGTGTGCCAGTGCCTGCCGCTGCAAGGCTGCTGTATGCTGTAGCTGTTGCTGCTGTGCGAGCAACGCCTGCCGTTGCGCCATCTCATACTGCACCGCTGCTGGATCTGCATATCTTGACGTGGCACCAGCCAACAGCTGCTGTTGTCTCTGATACATTTGCTGCTGTTGCTGCAGTTGGGCTGCTCTCGACGATGACGCACCTCCCGTCTGAAAGTTCCCAGGACCACCTCCCCCTGCGTGATGCTGCATATTAAAAGTTTGATGTGTTACAGCCAAGATGCTGTGTCGTTCCGCCTCCGTCTGAGCTGCTTGGGCTTGGGCAAGAAGCTGATCTCTAACGTTCTTTTGTTTGATAAGCGTGAGGCGCTCTTGAAGCAATCGTTCTTGTTGTAACAGAAGTAAACGAGGTAAGTCAAAGTCTTGTTCCACCGCAGATGAAGAGATATTATTTAAAAGCTGCTGATGTTCATGCGTGGCAGTTGAGAGGTCCAGTACTAGAGCAGGGTGATGTACAACTTGATGCTGTTGCGGGCTTTGATGGACTCCTATCACGCCTCCTTGTAGTCCTTGCTGAGAAAGAGAAACAGAAAGCCCCTGTTGTCCTTGCGGAAGATGCTGCTGCTGAGACGCTGATGAAATCCCCTGTCGCGGCCGTCCTTCCAGATCATGAGACACAGCAGGCACAAAACAAAAACTTTCAGTCCTACTTGGTCCTCCTAAGCGAAGTCTCTCGTTAGAGCAGCTCAAAACGTTTCATTTCATCTTGCATAGTACATTAACATTTTCCTCAATTGCCCTAAGAAGGGAACAACAAGGAGAGAAGAGGGCTTTTAGAAGAAATGAATTGTTTTCAGCCTTAATCTCGGAGTTTTCTCGATGCACCTGCGCTGATCGATCTTCTCTTCTGGGGTCCACGACGGTTTCACCCAGACTGGCATAATAATCCTCTGCTCGTGGTCCACTAGAAGTGTTGATCTCGTTAAAACTACTGTTGGCGATGCCACTGGCGTTATTAACACCGTAGTTCCTGTTGATACTACTAGCACCACCAGCACCACTGCAAAAGTTCAAACTACTTCCAGTCTTGCTGTTCCTGTACCTGTTGCTATATTCATGATGAGAAAAAGAGTTGTCGTTTCCGCCATCTTCCTCTTCAGACGTCGGAACAGCCGTGGAAGAGGCGCTTGGACTAGGTCCTTCTGGCAATCCTCCTTTGTAAAAATAAGCGGCAGCACTATGCGTTCCGTTGAATTAGAGCGAGGGATTCTTAATAGTACTCTAGTAGTACTCAAACAAAAAAGGTAAGACTTCCAAATCCAAGTGAAGAAGTGTAAGTCAAAGCGGGTGGCTCTTGTAAATCTAAATACATTTTTAGTAGTACTGGGAAGATTTTTGACATTGATGGTCTACAATATTAACTAATAGATGTTCATGTTGATTCTTGTTGAAATATCCGCGCCCGTCTCTACTGTAAGTATCAAAAATGAGTCTATATCTCTATATCTACTATCTTAATATCGTCAGAGCAGTAGTGGTTACGCCCTTAATGTTGAAAAAACACGTTCTGCGGGTTCGTCAACTGTGCTCTCCTCCTCTTCTCCGCTTCCACCTGCTCGGCCGCTGCATGAAGCTTTTGATAGTACTCAGCGATTGCTTGTTCTTTCTTTCTTTTGTAACTCTTGTAGCTGATAGACCCTGATTCTATTTTCGGAGGACCAAGCACTGCGGCAACTCCGGGATGGACTCCTGGACGACACAAAGATGAAGTTGCAAAAGTTCTTTGTAGAAGCTGGCCCGGCTTCCTCAGTGTAACAGCACAACTAGTAGTAGTTTCTTTAGTACAGGTTATTGCAGAACAAGAAGTTGCAGCCGCAGTTGTGTTTTTACGAAAAGGGTTGAACAGCTGAAGGCTCTCGTGCTGCGGAAACGGTGTACCATTCGAGTTCGACGGTGTTGAACTATTCGTATTCGACGTGGGTGTATTTTCCTTGGAAAAGAAAACTTCACAGTCAAGGAATCGCGTAGCTACTGCTAACCGACGTACCCCGTGATCTCTAGGAGTGCTATGCTGCTGCTGTGGAGGTTCCTTCTCCTTGCTGATGTCAATGGTCTCTTCAACTTCAATTGCTAGTTCTCCACTCACAGTCGTCCTATACAAGCCTTGCTGTCGCTGCTCCTGCCCAGTTGTCTCGTGGGTAGGCAAAAACTCGATTATCGGAGGATTCGTTGTACCAGTTGTTGATCTTCCTCCTGTGTATGGAACTACCTCTGAAACTTCTACATCATCATATCGAGAGGTCGTACCTGCTCGTGGTCTGTTGACAACATCAACAAAAACATCGTCACGGCTTCCATATCTACTGGGTTTTCTCTTGTTCGTGGTCGTGGAAGCTCCAGGTACAGGAGGCTCCTTCTTGTTGCGGTTAGTGTCGTACTGAGGGTGTCCACCTCGTCCTTCGAATTGGCCTTCGACGTGGCCTGCGACAGCGGCGTTGTGGAGGTATGCAAGATTATGCGATCTTTCTTGGTGTCCAGCACAGAACGTTGGTGCACCACAAGCAGAAGTTGTACAACTTGTACTCCGATTAAAACGCGTGGTACCCTTTCTTTGTCCTTCTACCTCTTGTTGTCCAGCCCTTCTGATAGTACTAGTGCAATTGTTGTAGATGGAAGAGCCTCGTCCTCCTGAACCACAGCCGCGCGTCGCTTTAGTGAAAACACTCCCCCGGTTGTAGTCATCTGTTATGCTTCTACTTCGGTATGAAATCAAATCTGAACTTGTTCTTCCCGCACTCCATCTCCACCTCGTCGGTCCTCTCGGTACTTGTCTTCTTGCTTGAAGAGTTTGAGGTTGATTGTAAGCTCTTCGCGTGGAAGATGAGGTCTCTACTGGAGGTGGTAGCTTCTTCGGCTGACCAGTCTGCGAAGAAATAGACGTGAACGAACAAGCACTAGAACTCTGTCTTCCTAGTGTTCGCAGGCGATCGAGGTCGAGCTGGAAACAAGGCTGCGTGGAGGGACTTTCGAATTCGTCATCCGGGAGGTGCTCGTGGACCTGCGTGCAAAAGGTGTAATGAGCAGATTATACGAATTATCTTTAGCTATTGGCTATTGGTATACTTAGTTTATAGCTTCTTCTTCTTCTTCTTGTCGCTCTAGTCCTTTCTCTAAAAGTTTTTCGGCGTAGGAAGTAGAGGAACTGGTGTCACAAGTCTTGGAAGTAACATTTCACGTTGAGAAGAACGGATTTTTTGATGCACACGATAAACCTATTAACCGAATTATTGAATCGCGAGTGGGGTGAACTCTACTTGGAGGTGAGTGTCGTGTTCATTTTTTCGAATGTAGTTGTGTTTACATTAGGACAGACGAGATGTACTCACAGATGCGTAGGTGAACACCGATAATTTTCACCTTCTGTACAGATCAGCATATTACGTTGTAGCTATCTTCAACCGATTTTCGTTGACGAGTCAAAATTGCATGTTGTAGTTGTAGTTGTAGATCGTGCACGTGCTAACTTTCTTGTTCTTTTACTACAGCGATGTCGAGCGAGATAGGGCGCATCAAGAGATCTTCATCTTTTTTCAACAGGAACATGATTGATGTGTATCGAGGCAACAATAACAGTACCTGATTCAGGGAAACGCCCACTTGCCGTCTCGACTCGTGGACCGAGTGCGTGAGACCCATCATTTTCGGCATTTCTCCTGTGCGTCGGGGTCCGTCTGAAGTACTTAGTACTACAACTAGAAGCGAAATACAGTTGCGGCGTGTGTCGTCTGTTGAAGTAGTATTCCTAGAAAAACAAGTGCACTGGTTCCGCGGCTTCTTGTGTATGTGCAGCTGTTGATGATGATGTTGCTCTCCTTCCTCTTTGTGGCAATAACACGAATGCGGCTAGTGGTGTCGTTCTTCTTGTTATCAGCGGTAGCGGTCGTGGAAGTTGTATTGTTACTGCGTTGTAGCTGATCTTCATGCTCTTGTTGTACTACTAGGACTCGTCTCCTGCAGTACGTCGCTCTACGAACCAGATGGTGTTAATGTTGATACTACTTGTAGTTGTACTAAGGAAGTGTTGAAACACACTTGCAGATGTAGTAGCAGTAGTGGTTAAAGCTACTGGTACTGTTATTCTGTCTGTTGTATAACTGGTACTCAGAAAACTCTTTTTTAGGTACTTTACGAGAACTTAGAAGCGAATGATTGTCGTGAATAAGGAGTGCGGTGGAACTGGGTAAAAAATCAAAACTTTTTTTTACATGTTGTATGTTAGTAATAATTCAAAGCATGCTGAAACAAATCAAAAAAAAGAAGCCGGTATATCAATCACTCCACAAATGACTCACACGTATGCACTTCTTTGCTAGTGGTGCTGCTTGACCAGAGAAGACTGGAATCAATCAATCAAAACTATGATGAAATGATATGATACTATTCAGAACTCTAGTAGTCTGCGAGTTGTAGTTGTACTTTGTGATGCAGGATCTGTCAACATGCGCCTCCCTATGAAAAATCGAAAAATCGTCCATTTGATAGGTAGAACTTGCTTTTGTTCCAATCTTCAGTCACACTCACAACTGTAAAAAAAACTACATAACATCATTCAACGAACAGGAACAGAGATGAACCTTGATTATATCTATCATATTATAGTTGTATCCACGATCACTAGTAACAAGGGTCAAAATCACAATGAATAGCATCAAGGCAATCTAGGTACTTAAATAGGTATCACCGATCACGTGTGAATCACGACTCAGTGTGAAGAAAACGTGTGGGTAGTAATGTCTTTCAAAACGTTGATGTTCCTGTGAGGTCCAATAGACGATGACGGATGAAGATGAACCTTATTGAATCTCCAATCTGAACAAGAATGATCATGGGACTTACAACTTTCTTTGTCGTACACCAGCTTGTGGTTCTGATTAACATCACGCGAGATAACCGTCCTCGCGACAGTGGATCATTGCAATGCCGCATCGAACGCGATTACTACATGACAAAGCAGCACGCAACTTGTACGAGTACGCTGTACATGGGAAGAATGCCTCGAAGACCAAGATCAATGATCGTCGTGGTTTCAAAATAAAACATACCTGCGTCAGTAGTAGAAAGATATTACCACACCATCTTGTTCATTTCCAGATATCCTGATATTCTCACCGTGAGCCCCCAGAATCGCAGCACCAGATAAAATCCTGAAAATGGAGGTGAGAGCAAGAACAAGAACAAAGGCGAGGGTTGATCAATCCATAATGCATCATCGAAAGGTTGTCAACAGATAAGAGAGTTTGGGATTGGGTCTATCTTCATCTTCATTGACACTGCAGTCTGTGTTGGTCGCGCAAGGCAATAAACAATGGGAAGATAATAGGAATAATGTTGTACGAGTCACCGAGGGAGGACGAACATCTTTCAATTTCAATCGTGGGTAGTTGGTATAGTATAAGTACTAGCGGCATTCTGCTGCTATGCGTCTGCTGAGTGAATGGGGCGGGGGTTGAAGGATGATCTCAAGGGGGTCTTCATTCTCATCATCAGCATAGTACTCAACAACAACAAGCATGCGGTCTCTGATTATTCATCTGCCCTTCTTCTTGCCCTTACCCTTACCAGAGCCTTTAGAAGTGCTCGTCTTTTTTTCTTCAGCAGCAAAGCGCGATGAAACCCGTCCTCTGGTGCCAGCATCTTCTTGTTCTCGTCCTCGTGTATTTTTGGCATTAGTTTTTGTCTTAGCTAACAAAGCTTCCCTAGCCTTCCGTTTTTCTTCGATTTCGGACTCTTCTATTTTGTTCCTATACGCTTCAAGCTTACCTTTGATGTCGGAGGACGCATTTTTGCTCGTCTGCTCTCTGTCTTTACCTTTACCTTTGGAAGCTTTTTTACTAGCAGCTTGTTGTTGTGGTGGATCTTGTTGTCGTGGATCTGGTCTTTCTTCAAATCGAGGAAACTTAGCAGTAGACTTATTGTTTCCTTTCGTACCCTGTCCACCATGTCCAGTGAAGGAATCATGGACCTTCTTTAATTTCGCTGGTTTCACGATTTCACCACCCGCTCCTGCTGTGCTGCTGGCGGGAGATAGATCCAAAGTTGTGATGTCGTGGTTGTAGTAGCGCTTATTCGATGTTCTGGTGATCGTATCAGCATTAGTCTGGTGGTCATGTGCCGCTGACGTCGAAGCGGTGTAGCTCTTCCCGTTTTTATCAACCTCGCTAAGCCGCCTCTTTCTGGTAGGAACAATGTCAACACTTGACTTTGATACCTCTTTGTTGTTCCGTTGAGGTCCCCTGGTCTCCCGTTCTTCTTCTCTAGTACTTCTACTAGTTGTACCGTGTCCTCGCGTAGTCGTAGTCTTTTCATGCCTGCTTTGCTGCTTATCGTTGTAATCCAGCTCAGCGTTATACACTCTACGGGACTTCTCTTTGTAATGGTCCTTGGTCTCCTTTTTCTTCTCGTCATCATGAGCAGGACGAGGAGCTTTTTTTCCGTGGTCTTTTTCCTCAAGTATATAATCATGCGCATACTGCTTCGAAGAATTACCGCGAGCAGCATGTCCACGGTCCTGCTGTTTATCCTTGGATGGCGCGTACCGAGAAGATGTGTCCTCTTTGTGGCCACATGTCGTGCTAGTCGTTCCGTTTGCTTTTATTTTACTCTTATCTTCGACTTCATGGTAGGATGTTTTTTTCTTGTAGTTCTCGTTTTTCCACGACTTTTTGTCATCACCTGCCCAAGCCTCTCCTCCCCCGTCAGCACCCTCTCCATCCCAAGCTTCTTCGTCTCCTTTCTCACCCTTCCATTAGAGCTCTCGCTAATTCATCCCTGTGGCAATCCCTCAACAAGATGCCACAGTATTCCCCTTGTATGGGGGTGCATATTGTTGAGGGATTCCTATAGAGATGGATTAGGGGTAGCCTTAATTCCAGTCTACCTCTCCATTCTCATCCCCCTCTCCAAACTCGTCCCCGAAATCCACATCATCCGCCTCGTGGTATTCATCCAACAAGATTTTTCATTTTGTGACGTCTTCCGGAAAGGTGTCTTCGAGGCCTGCGGTCATCGGGATCCAATGTTCTAGGCAGAAGTCTTGCATCTTACCTACACCAAACGAAGTAAACTTGCGATCGCCTTGTAGATAAGCGACTGCGGCTTTTTTGCACTTCAGGACGTCGGTCCTTAGAAAAAGATGTTGTCCTCGTAGGATGTAGTTGTAAGTAGTTGAGTAAGAGTAGTAAGTAAAAAGTTTTGTTGTAGTTAAGTACGTAGAGTTGTAAGTAGACTATTAAACATATAAGGTAAAGATGCAGTATAAATACTGGAGTAAGTCTAAACAGTAAAAGAAATCTTCACACGTAAATCTAAATTCCCTTTCATTCCGCATGGAGGCAAGAATTTATTATACTTTAATAGCAACAAACTAATCGAAAAACTGAAATAAGCGAGTAACAGACGAGAATAACCACGATACTGTTGAACAAGGAAGAGTAGCCCTGTCAAAGCTGCCTTCCTTATTTCAGTCAGTAACTCGGTTATTTTCAGTTTTCGAGTACATCAGCACAGTGCTCATCATAACTTTTTCAATTCTGTATTCTTTGCGAAAAGGAATTGCATGAAGCCAACCATTCGCGTCTGCAGACAAACATCGCTATCATGTAAGCTTGCATATTCGTTTATCAGAAAAACCAAGTCACGTGCAACTGTGGCATTAGACTGGAAAAACCGAGAAGTTGTACTTGTTTTCGTGTCGACGACGTAGTTCTTTTTAGCATTTTTACTCGTGTTGTTGTTCTCACCAGGAGGCGAATCTTCTTGAGCATCATCAGCATGATCCTCCTCACAACTTGATTTAGTCGGGTCAAAGAAACTGCCATATTCGTGTTCGTCGTTAGGATCAAGATCATGATCATCTTCTACTTGTAGTTCGTCCGCGTTGTCATCCTCATCTTTGAGATTTTTCTTTTTGTCTGAAGAAGCTGGTCGTGGTCCCCCGTAAAACAAGTCTCCATCCTCCTCATCTACATCTTTGTCTGAAGAAGCTGGTCGTGAAACGCCGTAAAAGTCTCCGTGATTCTCTTCATCTACCTCTTCTAGTTCTTCTACATCTTGTTCCACCACCGCATGTACTTTACTTCTATCATGAACCGAACCACTTCCTCCATCAGGTCCTACGTAGTCCGTGGGAGGCAGGAGAGACCTTCCGCCAGGATTTTGCGACGTAGATTTTTCCAAGGAAGTAAGCGCTTCTTCGGATTTTGCCTTCGATGTGTCTTCTGATGTCTTCTTCTCCTCCTTTTCTGTAGTCCTCACTGGCGGAGCCTTCTTCTCTTCCTTTTCTGTAGTCCTCACTGGCGGAGCAGCAGGAGTAGAACCTCCAGGTGGTTTGTTGTTCCAAGATGGACTGGAGGCAATGGAAGAAGCCTTCGAATTCGAAGATATCTTAGACATTTCTTTACTAGAAGGTGGTACAAAAATACTGCTCGAAACTCCTCTAGCCTTGGTCTGTGCGACCGCAGATGGTCCCATCATGTACGTTTTCGGAGCCTCTGGTATTACACTGGAGCTAGACGAGGGTGGCCGTTGCCTTGCATTGTCACCAACAACAAGAACCTTGTCTTCGATCGGAACAGCAACATCTTCGGCACTAGCATCGGCGTCGGGTGCGTCTTTTTGGATATGGGCCTCTTCCTCGACTTCGTCATCTTCATCCGATACATATTCAAGATTTGCCTCTGACGCGAAATAAGGCGCGTCTCCACCTTTTTCATCAATAATATCGTTCATCTCATGCGCTTCCGCGGCCGTGAGAGTAATATTCATTTCATCAATGATCTCGTTCACGCTCTCCCGCACCTCGACTTCGTCCAATTCTTTAGCCTCGAGCCGCGTCATCTCGTCTGGTGGAGCCGCGACAGGCGTAGAAGACTCTTGTTTTTCGTCCTGGTGCTTCAACATTAGTTTCTCGATAAGTTCATTTTCACTAATCACTTTTCGTCTTTTTGCTGCGTTGGAATTCTGCGCCTGCCCAGCGGCTGTAACGGAAACGGAGGACCCTTGTTCTGGAGGTAGTTCTTGTTCTCTCTTGTCAGAAGCTGGAGCTGCAGCAGCAGGATCGTTCAATTTGGGACTAGCGATGCTCGTAGTTGCATTTCGTACTAGTACTTCTGAACCTCCTGCATCAGGAGTATCAAGAACTACGTCTTCATCGTCATCAAGTACTATGACTTCGTCGTTTGCGGCGTCGTTCTTGTCAACATTCATCTGAGTAGTTCCTTCGGATCCTGGAACTGGAGCGAAAGGATCCACATCATGAATTTGACTATCCTCCAGAAGTTGAAGTTCCCCCTCTTCACCTCCAGATGAACCTGAGCCACCATGATCTTTGATAAAGTCCTCCACAGAAAACAAGTGTTTGCTCTGTTGAAGAAGGCCATGACTATTATCTTTTTCGTCGAGACCCTCGAGATCTTCAACGCGGAGATTCTGAAGAACTTTATCTCCTTGTTCTTGAGGAAGAGCATCGTGATGACCATCAGCTGACACTTGAGCACCAGCACCACCAGGCAATCCCGAGTAAATGACAGTTTCTTGTCCTCTTTTCTTAGCCCGTTTTTCCATCGCTTCTCGAACTGCAACTGCCAGACCAGCAGGATTGGCTTTTAGAAGTTGCGCTTGAACCTCCTTCGGAAACGTGTTCAAAGGCAAAGAAACACGCAACTCTAGAGTTTCGGCGTTTACGTGATAAGAAACAGCCTTCGAGGAAGTCCAAGGAGAGGCTGAAGGAGCAGATGCGAAGTTAGAAGTACTTGTCGCGCCGCCAGCGCCAGCAGCACCTTTAGAGGTACTTGCACTCATCTTGTTCTGCAGGATCTTCTGTTGCGCTAATGCTGCCAGAGCCTGGAGACCTTTGCCGATGTTTTGTTGCTGTGGCGTAGTTGAAGGACCTAGTACATTCCCTTTCGCCGCAGTAGAAAAAGCACCGTAGAGCATTGCAGCTCTATTGGCGTCTAGAGAAGAACCAACTGGTTGCTGGAGTTGTTGCGCACCTCCAGCTCCTTTTGATGTACCTCCAGTACCTGCGCCACCTCCTGACTTGTTAGCTTTATTGGCTTTGTTCGTGTGTGTCACGACGACACCAGCAGATCCACCAGTGCTAGAAGTAGTAGCTGCAGCCAGCATAGCTCGCGCGATACGTGATTCTGTTTCCGCATGCTCTCGTTCGAGGTTTGACTGCTCTGATAATTTTCCAGCAGTTGAGGATGCCAAAACGCTCACGGTCTTAGACGGATCGGGCTTATTCATCAAATAGGCACTCTGTACGTGTGCTTTCCTCTTCCACCGTTCTTCCCGTAAACGTTGAACAATTGACGTGCTGGCTCCACCTTGAGGATCTTGCTGTTCAGATGATGTTGTTGTTGACGTCTGTAGTTGTTGTACTTGATCATGTGCTTGTCTAAAAGTCGTTGTCGCTCCTGTAGTCGTAGCAGTCGATGACCCAGCTGCTGGCAATGGTAATTTCATCTTACTTCTTGCAATTGCATTCGCTGAAGTTGGAGGTAACTTCATATTGCTCTTGATCGACAGGTTCTGGTTTACTTCACTCAAGGTCATCTTCTTTACGACCGAAGACGCAGTAGTTGTATTAGCAGTAGGAGCCGGGTTCGTTGTGCTCGTGTTGCTGGCAGCAGGACCTGCTACCCTATTCGTGCTAGGTCCAAGATGTCCAGCAGGAGCATATTTACCTTCGCTGTTTCCCCCTGATGTACCTCCTACTATCCGCCCAAGTGCCTTGATTTCGTCAGCAGTAAGCTCTTCTGTCTTTTCACCTTTCGACTTTTTCTTTTTCTTCTTCTTGCTAGTAGTTGTGCTTGCGGCACCTTGTTGTTCTAGCAGCTGATTCATCTCTTGCAACGTTTTTTTGGCTCCCCCTCCAGGTGGCTGTATCAAAGCACCTGGTTGCAAGGCTGGGTTACCATTTGGGGGAAGCGGAGCGCTCGGCCAAGCGGCCGCATGTGGGGGAAGCACACCAGGAGCAGGAGGTCCGAAGTTCCAAACGGCAGTCGGCGGTGGTCCAACTCCGGGAACCATTCCACCAAAAGATCCAGGATGTGGCTGGTGCACATGTGATAATTAGCGCTCACCCTAATCCATCTCGAGAAGCATCCCCAATGCGAGGCTTTTCCTCTTGAAAAGCCTCGTCTTGGGGATGCTTCCGAAGATAGACCAGGGGAAGCCTTAAGATAGCATCAATCCAGCTGGAGGTCCTGTGCCCAGCATCATAGCAGGTGGTCGTGGTAGTGGTGGCACACCTCCGAACGGATTTCCAGGTGGTGGCAATGGCACATGTTGCGCCAAGTTGATCATTCTTGTGGCTGGTGGTGGCCCTAGAGGCACAGCGGACAGCGCAGGAGCTGAAGCTGATCCCGATGTAACGTCTTGGTTTGTTCCTTTCCCTAGTACTGCCTCTTGTTCAAAACCGGTGAGCTGTACATTAGCACCCATATTTTCAAATTGTGGAACCATACTAGCACTGTCGGTCGAACCGTACGGGTTTTCATGCTGAGCACGCTGGTTCTCCATGTTCGGACCAGAACCCTCTGTAGTGCCGGACTTCATTTTGTTATTTCTCGGGGACGGAAGTCTAACGAGGGGCCCAACAGCTTCTTGTTAAAAATGTTCTCTTCAAAAAATAGAAACTTTGGACTACAACTTCTTCTAGTACTCAAACTTATAGAGCTCCATACTCTTCTCCGTCTCTATCATACAAAATCTAGTAAGGACCGACATCAAGAACAAATAAAAACGAAGGTCTGATTCATCTACTTCGAAGACAAAAGTCACCTACTTCATTCATTCATTCATTCTACTTGCTCGCAAAAGATCTGCGTAGACTCCAACAAGTGGGCTACGTTTTTGGAAAGTGTTATCAGTGCCAAGGAACTTAAGCAGAAGACGGCACGTGAAGTGACTGATGCGACGCTAACAACTAGCGAGAAGTGAAAGACAGATTTTTTAAGATGATTTTCTGATTGAGAAAGAGAATCCACTATTAGATCTTTCCTAAGTTTGCCGGGACTGAACACTGCAAGACTCCTTCTAAATGTAGAAGATCTTGCGTCGGACCGTTAACAGAAAGCTCTCTGGGAGGAGCCGTTTATGACGTACTATCCATTTGTATTCCTCCGACCCAGTATAAGTAATTCATCGATATTCACATTGTGGCTCCTTCACTTTTAGGCTGATTCGATGTTGGCATCGAAAGTAGTAGATTTGGGTGTTTCTTTCATCATTCAACATATCGGTATCATTTGCAGCGAATGCGGATAATTCGGTAATCGGTATCAGCGTCTCATATTTACTCTTTGCAGCAGACTAGAAAACTCTTTTTTTCTTGGGATGTTCTTTGCAACACTGTCAATGAAGGTAACTAGAAATACTTGTGAAAAAAGCTTACTTGCTTTGCAAAATCTTTTGGAGACTACTTAAAGATATAGACAGATGAACTAAGTACGCACATGAAACGATAAAAACTCTTTTCTGTTAATGGTGCAATATCAAGTGTATGATCGGTAACGGTAACTACGGTATAAAACAAATTCATAATTTCTTGTTCTTGGTTCATAAAGTAATCATTTCTTGTTCGCTTCACTCCCCAACGAAAATCCGGTGAGTTGCAGATGGTTTCTCGAGTCCCTTGATTTTCTCCGCGCAGAGGTATGGATATTTTGCTCCGATCCACGCCTACCTCCACCTGCTGGCCCAACATCACTAGCACCAGAAACAAGATGTTGTTGCCGCATGATCGTGTCGACAAGTTCACTCTTTACAATCTTGTCCTCAGATGAATGAAAATTCTTCTTTCCACTATTAACCCCCAGCAAGTTAGTATCCATGGGATGAAGAATTTCGTGTCTGTGGTCTCTGGTGGCACCTCCAGCATGATGATCCATGACGTAGTCGACATGTTCGATTTCACTCAGAGAGATTTTCCGCTCGCCTCTCGGAGTATTCTGTTGTAAAGCCAGCCAGAGAGCGTCAGAAGACATGTTGGAGGAACCTGCTTCTGCTGCATTTGATTTTGATGATGAGGAATTTGAAAGTGGCACTAAGCTTGGAGGTAGATTATTCTTCTTGTTATGCTCATCTCCAACAATTTCTTTAGACGAAGGTGTTCTATCTGCACCTGGTGTTGCTCCTGCAGTTGGTTTAATACTCAGCAGCTTGCCTGCTCCACCGATATTCAATTCGACCATAGAAGGATCAGCTTGTGCGGCTCTTGCTGCTGTAATACTTGTTCTTCTCTTACTGCTGTTAAAATTCATCGGGCCTCCACCTTGTGGTCTTCTCAGAGTGAGCATTGTCGTCGCAGTCTGTTGTCCACTAGCAGCAATTTTGAGTGAACTCTTGCGGCGTTTTTTATTGGGTGAGGGAGAGGATGGACCAGAAGGATCAGATGTGCCGCCTGGTGGAATTGCTGATGTCTTAACAGTATCGGTCAGCTGATGTGCTTCTGTAGTCGCTGTGCGGGGCTGGAGATGTTCATTTTTCTTCTCATCTTTTTCGTATTTCATCTGCACCTCTTCTCCTTCGTCAACTACAAAAGCTACGGACTTGCGTCGATTTTTGATTTTGCTACTTTCACAAGAAGCTGCAGGAGACGCGGCTAGGGCATCAAGGTGGTCAACTAAATCATCAACGTTGTCAATAAATTTGACATTCGTTTTAGTAGTTGTACGCTGAGGATCACGATCAGAAAGAGGATCCGCTGCTGCTGCATTAAGTCTTACACTTCCACGACCTTGTTCTTTGTCATGATCGTGTGGTCCACCGATCCTCGGCCCGTGTTTTCTTTCTTCTTCTTCTACAACAAGGAGTCTTTGTCTTTGTTTTTCCTCTTCCTCCTCCTTCTCATCTTCCGACAATTGCGAGACCATCCTATCCACATCGTCACCGAACTGTCTAAGCAAAAGGGTGTTAAACTTTAGTTTCTGACCCATGCCAAAAAGTTGATCGCGCAGCTGCTTTCTCATACGTGCGCGCTGTGCGTTCCACAACTGTGCCTCCCTTTCGGACATATTTTTCATGCGGGATGCGGCAGAACGGAGGTTCGTCAACGCGTTTCTTGCAAGTTGTAAACCTAAACCACTTGGGCTGGTTGGACTTCTATTAGGGGCTCCACCTGATGCTGTTGGAGAGTCGAGGACGTTGTCGTTGTGCTCATCGGTGAATAGCGACAATCCTTCTGAAGGAGATGATCCCGTTAGAAGGCCTCGCAACCTTCCTCCATGTTGATTTGGAGAGGCAGTACCACCCTTTTTGCCGGGTCGAGTGGAAAAGCTTTTCGCAGTAGTTGCTCCTGGTGACCCTGTCGCCGACAACTGCATCATGCTGAGCATAGTTGTATTTCCTCTATTCGAGGGAGATTGATGACCAGCTTGTTCGAGTACCAGGTTTGAGGCAGCACTATTTGGAGAGCCTCCCGTTGTCGCGTTTAAAAACAGAGATTCTGCGTCGCCATCTATTTTCCGGTCAGAAGCCCGCGAATGTTCAATCGCAGAGAGAAGTAAAGCATGGAGCAATTCCTTGTCTAGGAGAGAAAGACGATCCCATTTATTTTTGACGACTGGCACAGGATTAGAAGCTTGATGTGGACAACTTGAAGGTTGAGTATTCTTGATGGATGTGGACAAGGATATTTTCCTTGAAGATGTTTCTGTAGTTCCTGGTTCGAGAACCTTTTCGTCTGTGGTCTCCAGCATCTCAACGTCAAGAGTCCTCGTGGTTGTTGTACTACTTTGCGCTTCATGTGCTATTAATTCTTGATCTTGTCCTCCAATAAATTGTTGCCCTCCACCGCCCTGTTCCCATAACTGACCTGCAGTCACAGCGGCTGCTGTTGCGGTCTCGTCAAAGAGGGAAATGCGACGAGCTCGACGGCTATCAACTGCAGTGGAACGACGTGCTGAGCGCGAGAGACGAGAGCCACCACCCAATAGCTCGCTCAACTTACTCAGAGCAGACGCATGTTGCTGTGAAGATGATGAACTACCTGGCTGATGTCCAGCACTGTTCAACATCATCTTGTTCGTCCCTTGCTGCAATACGTGTTTGCTGAGATCCCCCAAGTAGCGCGAAAATTCCTCAATCGTGTTGCCGTCTCGGCCAGAACTGCGCAGATCCACAAGGTACTGCTTTGACAACAAATTTGAGGCTTTGACGTAGCTAGCCTTCACGTGGCTACCCTGACCTGCGCGCGCTAAAATTAGAGGTAGTTGAGCTTGAGGTAGTTTACTAGCTAATGCATCTCTTCACAGATCAACATCTAGCAGCTGCCTTTTTCTTCTCATATTCTTGGTCTTCCAGATGACTTGGGAGATCCATAATTCCCTACACTCATATTGTTGGAAGGGCTAAGTCTCTAGAGGTAATAATTGTATGCTGCATCATTAGCCCTGTGAAAACTAACCGGTTGTTTTATTTAGTGCTTTGAGCGCCGCTGGACCTAAGCGTAAGCCCCAACCTTACTCTCATAATAAAAGAAGATTCCGACGAGACCGGTTTTTCTGAATTTCTACAGTGTCCTCCATCTCTTCATCGTCGCTCTTGGAAAACACAACGCGACCACGGTCACCGAAAACATCTTCGCGTGTGCGTGGCGAGGTCGACGCAGCTGGCGTAACATTGCCGCCACGTCTTGGAGTTTTACGAAGCTTTGAGGATGGAGAAGAGGTTGGAGTTGCGGCTGTTGAGTCCTTCTTTTTCTGCAGATTCGAAGGAGACCCTGGGTTGCTAGTAGTCGGGCCACCACTTTCCGCACCTCCGTCTTTCGTGTCAATCATTAACTGATTTTTTCGGTCTTTCATCTTGTTGTTGATAGTCCTGTTTGAAGTCTTAGATATTGCTTCTCCTGTTGGCGAATCATCAACACCTCCACCACCCACATCAATCTCCTTGTGGTCAACATCATCAGTGGCTTCTCCTATTTGTCCAAAGACAGAAGGAATAATATGGTGCGCATCTTCCGACAGAGTCTCCAAAGACGTCGCATGGAAAAGTGACTCTCCATCTGCGCTTTCTTCCAACTCCAAAATATCTCCTCGATCTGCGAAGATGCTTCCACGCCGTCTCGTCTCACCGCCATGCGACAAGGATCGTCGACGCCCTGTTCCACCTACTCCAGGAATCGCTTGTACTGCCATTTGTTGTTGTTCCCATGCTCTTTGTTTCCTTACTATCCTGATCACGTCCCAATTCGCGATGCATGCTTGATAAACTGTTTCCTGAAACTCCTGTCTGATTCGCTTATGCTCTTCTTGGGTGATCGTCCTCTTGTGATGTGGAGCACCACCACCACCAGTCGGATAACCATTTGCAGGACTAGAGCGTAGCTCTTTTTGCTTTTCCAGGAGCTCAAGACTAGTTCCGCCAGAAACATCCAATGCTAGATGCGCCCGCGTGCCAGCACGTCTGGATATTTTCTTCATTGACCCGCCGACCATGCTCTTACGCGGCTGCACTTGATCTGCGACTCCTCCTGCAATCGTGTTATATTTCGAACTGTCATCGTCCTCATCTTGATCTTCTTCCTTCACGCCAGTTACAACATCTTGAAAAACCTCAGTAGTTTCGTAGTTTCCGGTGTTTCTTCCTTGCTTATCTACTCCACGATCATTTGCAGGTGAAGATCCTTCATCTTCATCGGGCGTCGTTGTTCCCGCTGCATGAGTTGAACGACGACGCAACGAATTCAACGAGCCAGCGTGGGCATGCCGCGACGTTCCTTCATTGAAGTCATGATGAAGATTATGAACTTTTTCCTCCTCGTCAGCACCATGATGTGCGTCGGAAAAAACAGCATCTCCTTGTTCTGCTTCGTCCGGAACAGGGCCACTTGTGGTTCGGCTTTTCTCTTCGCGTTCTTTCACGACGTCGTCAACAGCTTCTTTCTGCATACTAGCAGTCTTGTCGGAATCGGTGCTCGTCTCCTGTTGCCCACTGAAAACATGCGTAAAAATCGAGTCAATATGTTTTTCGTCTTCCTGTGCCTGTAACAATCGCCACAAAGCTGTCCGTGCATCTCGAAGCAGCCAACGTAAAAACGTCACTACACCTTGCTCTAGAGGCACAAAGGCTGACGCTGGTGATCCAGCGGCAGACGCTGTCGTGGTTCCCAAAGTTCCTCCAGTACTACAACTAGTTCCATTTTTGGAATCCTTGAGAATTTCCCTCAGGCCTGTAAGCATTTTGCACACGAAAATCACTGCAAAGGAAGTAGAGGTAGTTAAGTTGTTGATGTTGAGGTGGGCGCCATCGTCACCACGAGAAGTGTCCTTTGAAGACTCTTTATTTCTACAAGCTAACAGAGACCCTGTTGACATGCGAAATAGCACATCTAGGTACTCCAAACTTGAAATGAGGGCAGCTGGTGACACTGTACTTCGTTTCTCCAGTTGTAAATAGGACGCCGTGCCGGATTTGGCGACAAGTGGTAGTTCTAGCATCTGATGTTCTCTGATGTTACCAGGAGTTTTAGGTGTGTTGATCAGAACAGTCGTCTTTTTCCTTAATGCTGCAGCAACGATCACTCCCAGCGAGCCCATAGTTTGTCCTGCAAGAGAAAGCCTCGCTGTAACTCCTCCACCTGCAGCACCACCACTAGCACTAGTACTTGTTTTCAAGAAAAAAGTTTCCCAAAATTTCGCTCTATCGAACAGTTTCTTCTCCCCTTCTTTTTTTCTCGCGCGGTTTTCTCGATATTTTCTCCTCAACTTATCGGCCTCACGCATTGTATTAAACGTAACGGCCGCGCGTTGATGATGTGTCGCAGAGGAATGTTGATTGTTCTTGTTCGCCTGGCTACCCGTTTTGTTCCCCTGCTGAGCAGCGACTAGGAAAACGCCAAAGTCGGGCTCAGAAGAAGATGAGCTACCAGAACTCGACGATTCGCCAAGATAGAAATGAGGATCCTGTTGAGGTTGACCTCCAGAAGAAGCACCATAATAATTTAAATTTGATGATATTCTACTATGAAGACTGTGTTGTCCTCGACCACTAGTTCTTCTTCCAGAAGTAGTGCTCCTGTGTGGTTCTTTCGTAAAGGAATGCATGACATTTTCTAATTCGAAGAGGAGCTCCTCTGCTTCGTTAGCACCACTTGGTCCTGCACCAAACAAGAAACCACCCAGTCCTTGATCCGCTCCACCAGCCATAAGCATGCTCTTCCTTTTCCGCCAAGCTGATGCTGATTTGCGTTTCCGCCTCTTCTTCTTCCCACCTGCAGTGCCAAGACCGTCTCCTCTACTTCCAGGGCTGCCGTCCAAGCCGATAGTCACTGGATGCACGCTAGCTCGGCGCGTCCTAGGATTTCCATTTTCATCCAAAAATGCGCCGTCGTCTGCATCTGCATCAGACAGACTGCCCCCATACGGAAACATTCCACCTTTCCTACCACGATCTGTATTAGAGCTCACCCTTTTCCGTCTTGAAACGCATCTTGATTCTCGTTTTGTTCCACGACTATGGAACGACTTATTTAAGATGCTTCTTCTTTCTCCTTATTCAAGATGTTCCCCCCTTTCTCCTTTCCCGCCCTTATGGGAGTGGGACAGCTCCTCCAAGAAGATCTACTATCTGAAGACGGAGGATTACAGGGGAAGCCTTAACTGTACCATCCTCAAAAAGATTTTGGCCCTTTAGGATCTTGCTTTCTGTCGCAGACCGTCCCCCTCCACGAGGAAGTTTCGCAAGCGCTTGTGTTCGTTTTCCGCGCATTCTGGGCAAGAAAAAATTGACTTTTGCACGTGGATCTGCGTCGCCGTCTGAAAAAGAGCCTCCATTTTTCACACTGCTGAGGAAGTCGTAGTTAGAGGTAGTGCCGTGTTTGTATCTACTTACTCTCGGAGTATCCTTGGCTGCTCGCGTAAGCTGACTCTTCCCTGGAAACATCCTGGGAATGTTTTTCAACAAGTAGGAAAAGATGGACCTCCAGTAGTTGTTGAAACTAGAAAGTTTTGATAGGCGCATGCAGCTTTTTTAACAGCTAGAGCTACTAGCCTTAACGTAGATCGAGCTTCCACCTCGACTTGAGTGATCACCAGTTTGCTTAGCGTCTCCTCCACTACCGCTTCGCAACAGCATATTTCGGTCCGCGAAGGACATCATATCCACCATCTTCAATGGCAAGAGAGCTGTTTTGTTACTTCCCCCTAAGCTTAGGGGTTCTTTCTCCTTGGCCAACAATCTTCTACTTCTTCGCATATCTATGCCCCTTGATTACGTTTCCGCCCCTTGAAAACGTTTCCACCTGGATGAAAAGGTCGTAGATATGCGCCAAGATTTAGATAGGTCAAGTTGCAACCCTTAATAAGGGAGAAAAACCTCCACGACTATGAGGTCCATGACCATCACTACTCATTGCCTCCCTTTCTGCCGCATCTTTTCCGCCAATATGACCATACAATTCGAGGTTGCGTTGCATTTCGCGAGCTCTTTCTAGTATCCTGTCACGCCAAAATCCGCAATATTGCTTCAGACTGGCTATTTTCTTGCCTAATTCCACTTTCTCCCGTTCAAATCTCGCAACCCGTTCGCCCTCCAATTCCGGTGGCGCCTTGGACATTCGCAGAGCCAATCCTTTAAGACCGCTAGCATAGAGGAATTTCCGCAGTTGCGTCCATTTTTTCTCGCGTCGACGTAAAAGCAGCTTGTTTCTGCGCGTTGCTTGATTTAGCAACCGCTGCATCTCGTCCAGCCCTGCATCTGGGTCTTTTTCTTGTAAGAATTTTGGTACTTTGTTTTAGAGCTCGCAGTAATTGTTCTTTTACGACGAGTAGTACGTTCACAGTGGTCTCAGAGTTGTCCAAGGATGAAACTGAGAGAGATGACGGAAACTCTGTGAAGCTGAAGGTGAGCAATCAACTGCGTGCGGCCGTCTAACGAGCGGCGCTGCTGGATAACGGAGGAACTAAAACATACCCAGGACCAACTCTCAATCAATCAATTTTTACTTACTCTAAACAGTATCATGAAGGGAGAGGCTTAATTTTTCGAGCGACGTTCGAGCCTTCGTCGTTTTTTCAAAGCCTTCTTGTAGTTAGAGGTAGGTTTTTGGTGCTCGCTTACCCCGCTTGTTATGCCTTTCTCCCTTAGGAGAGGCATAAAAAGCGGTAAGAAAAGCACCTTTAACCTACCCTTAATGTAGGCTTGCTCCACGATGAAGCACTCTTCTTGCAGTTCTTCGTTTTGCTTCGTCAGCTCGATCTTCCTCTCCGAAAACGTGACGCGGGCATTAAAGAATGCTAACTGCTCTTCTACTAGCCTTTTTGCCTCTTCTTCGGACTGGAGCAGCGCAGAGACTTTGCTCAGTTCGTGCTGAACATTTTGCACTCTATTCCTGCAGCGGTACACATCATCTTCCTTCAGCAAGATGCCTTCAGACTTGACAATCCGCTTCCTGGAAGATCCCGCATCGCGTATTTCGGCCGCGCGCTTTAGCATCTCATCTAGCTTCTTTTGCAACAGTTCTTCATCAAATTCCACCTCCATCTGGTCCAAGTTTACACTGCAAATACCGCTCTGAATGCTGCTCATCAACGATGTGGCTGGTGCCTCAGTTGTTCGTATTTTTCCCTTGTGGTCTTCTTCATCATGTTGTACCCGATCAGTTCTTGTTGTGTGCTTTTGCCTGTCATCTTCAATATTGTCCACCTCGTCTTCCTTCTTATTTGTGGTCGATTGCGTTACGTTATTGAACTCCTCTGCGACTGCAAGGAGTGTCTCTTTGCTCGCTTCGAGCCGCATCATCGGTGTAACTCTTGCGGCGGCAGCTAAATTCGATGGATTAGTGGGGCGGTTCGAGAAGAAGTCTACAACATCAGACAATATGAACTTGAACTACGTAAGTATGGTCGCAAGGAACAAACAAAGGAAGGTAAGAAAAAACAAAAAGAAAAAAGTACTTAGAGAACTAAGCATGTGTAACTTTTGCAGCTAAATTCGATGGATTAGAGGTTGAGAGAAACAAACATACTTACAAAGCTTAGAAAAAAAAAAGTCTTATTAAATATATTTCTTAATTATAGTGTCCTTCCTTCTTATCCCCGCAAGACGCGCTTTAGCCTTCTCATCGTCTCGGATTTGCTGGAGGAGAGCTGTGTTGAACTTCGATGCCTTGAGGAAGCGCAACTCGTGTGAGACGTCTGTTGTCAAACTATTCAAATGATCGACTATTCGCTTTTTCTCCTTCGTCAGGAACGTCCATTTCCGCAGTAAAGACTCCGCAGAAGTCGTGCATTTCTGCTGCAGCTGCCCGTTTTGGTCGAGAGTGAGGTATGAAGACACAAGGGCAAGATAAATCCATTATTAATTTTATGCAGTTGTACTAGGACGGAGGACGAAAGAATCTTGAAAGCATTTGCTCGGTCTCGGAGTTTGGGGACTAAATAAGAGAGGGTAGAAGAAGCCTGATAAATCATTGATTATGCCAATTTGTTGGTGACGTGCTGACTCGGGTTGAACTTGACTGTGGGCTTGCATATCTAGAAAATGTTGAGTATGAGTTTATTTCTTACGTTCTTCTTACATACTAGTATAAAAGATCAAATTAATAATATTAGTCTAATTATGTATTATCAGTCACATTTCTATCTAGGGCTACTATTTCAACATTTCCTAAACAAACAGACATTCTTTCATCATTCACACAAATGCAACCCAAGGCGGGGAAGGAGAACAGGTAGATAACTCATATATTTTGCGACGCGCTCTCGCGACGGTTTCAGCCTTCGCTCTTATCAGCCAACTCATCTTACCAATCTGCCGAGCAAAGCGCCTTTTCCGAGCAAGAACACTGAGGCAAGCTCTCGTTGCCGGATTAGCCTCTCATGAGACCTACCTGCAGTCCGTCTCCTTCATTACCCAAACTGACACCAGCATCAACGAACATTTATCAACATACATGAATTTTACGCAAAATTTCACAACCTCTGGACTATGCTGGTGGGAACCGCCATTCTTACGACTTCTTTCATAGAATAAAAAAATTCTTAAACACTAAACATTACTATTCATCCTCTTCAGAGTAATCTTCATCGTTTTCAGATCCAGCGGCAGCGATCAAGGCTTCACACTCAATCCTATCTTCAGACACATATTTGCGCCAACTATCTGATGAACCTGCCCAACGTCCTGCGGCCAAAATTGCACCCTTAGAACCCCCACAAAAGGCAATAGTGCTACATCCTCCTTTCCTAAGACTATGGGTACCAAATTCCCCTTTTTCGTTATACCTAGCTGCTGCATCTTTAACTTCATGCAGACAGGAAGCATAGTCTAATTCGTCAAAAATCTCTTCACCTGGCAAAAGATCCTTACAAAAAACTTTCCAAAATACATGATATGGACACGCGTGGATGGGCCACGAGACGACTCGCTTCCCTTTCTCGTCGAACTTCTGAACTTTACCCTTGCAAGTACACGATCTGTAAATAAAATCGCCCTCCAGGGCGTTCTTCCTAGACTTCAAACGAATACAAACTTCTTCGCGATCATCGTCGGCAAAAACTGCAGAGTGTGAATTAAGTTTAACCATCCTATCCTTCTGCTTCTCATCTTTTACTTTTAAAAGCGGAATGCCTTCATCTCCAACCCTAAGTAAGAACATCCACGCGACTGCAAAAAGCATACGCACGTCGTCGCAAATGGTGGAGTCTCCAATAATCTTATTAAGAAACGAGGGAGAAACAGGGTCCTTCGACCGACGCATCGGCTGATTGCGACGAATGCCAGCAATCACCGATCGCAGCTCAGGAACTGAGGGAAAAGGAACCTTCAAGACCTCTGACACCTTCTTCAGTGCACACTTATGCACGTTCGCTGTGGAGTCCATACGCGTAAGAGCTAAATAACCTGACAACTTCGACACCGAAATGGGAAACGGCTTATCGTTAATTACTGCGCAAAAATTTAAATACGATCGAAATGCACTCAGATACGAAGACCAATCTTTTACTGCTTCGCCACGGACGTGCATCAAATGAGACGACACGATATTCCGAGCAGACGCAGGGCCTTTGCTTCTTAAAAAATCTAGTTTTTCTTTCATACTCCACGAGTAATCAAGTACGAGCGGTTTGTGTTGTTCTAGAACATACTTCACCTTGTTGAAAATTGATTCATGGTCTAACTTAGACAATTCTGCTACTGATGGCAATGCCAGCGGTGTGTACAAAGGCTCCTTCGTGCAGGAGTTTGGAAAAATTTCTTCTGTCTTCCACGGCAAAATCCTTTTTCGTACTATAATCGACCCGTTCTTATCTTGTTTCAAAACTGGAACATAATTATTCTTCCTCAGAGCAGGCGGAAGCATTGATGACGCCAGCTTACCTTTGACAACTAAATCAGGAATGATGACAGGAGCATTGGACGAGAATGCTGCCGAAACTACTGATTTGTCAATTCTATCAGAACTACCACTCTTTCCACTTTCCTTAGCGGCAATCACATTCATCAAATTAAACATTTTTACTTATTGCCAAAGAGAAACTACTTGTACTTAACAGCAATCTTATCCCTTACTAGTATTACTACACACTCACCTCCCGCACAACCCTCTAAATTTTTTACAACAGACTTCTAGACTTATAATATATGGAAACTCTATATATCTATCTCTTATGGAAATGTGTTGAACGACTGTGTTAATCATCTTACACGAGCGATCCCATATCTAACGCTCGTCCGCCTTCTTCATACATAAACTTTGTCGCAACGAGAGCGAGGCCGAATTATCCGATAACGAAATCAAGACAGAGATGAACGACTACGCCGCAGGTGCGGTAGCTGCAGCTACAGTAGCAGTTTGAACTTGGCTAGGCGCAACCGAATTATTTGTAGCAGCAACAGGATGAGCCTCCGTACTCACAATAGGAAAATCTTGGTCGACATTCCACCACTGAAGTGCCTTATTGGCAAATTGTTTCAAGTGCAACGCCTCCTGTCTCGAACTTGGCATACTATGGGAAAACTGACAACTATGATTCCAGCACCAGGAGCCACGAGTTGGGCCCGCATTCAGAAAATCAAAACAATATCTGTTACCAGAACCTTTCTTACTTCCTTTCTTACCATCTCCTTTACCTCCACTATTCTTCCCATAAGGGGTACCCTTGTTAGACGCCGGCGGATCCCAATGCTTCCTTTCCGGCGAATACACGGACTGAACCAGCTGCTGCTGCAGTTGAACGTTCAGCTTATTCGTAAGGCACCTGAACAAAAAGTCTTATTTTGAACGTTCCCTCACTTGTTCACACAAAATTTCCACTTCATTAACAAAGTCGCACCACAAACATCATCATATATTACCTTTCCATCTGGGTACCCAGTGACTCCTCAAAAGCCAGCCTGAAAAAGGCTTCCAAACGCTGAGCGTAGTTTTGTCCCATCAAGACTTGGACGCCTGCCATCCTGGCAATCTTCGTTTTATACACCTCTTCGATAGACTCCCGTAACAACACGCTGTCGTGGTGTCTCGACAGATTTACGAAAAATACCTGACAGTCACACATTATTACTTTAAACCTCAACTCAACATTCATAGAACACTTAAAGATCAATTAGTCTTACGCTTCAGTCTTCCTGTTATAACACATAAGTAACAACTCAACACACGACCACACAATAGCAATTACCTGTAACACATCAAATCCCAGCCTTTGCGCGTTTGAAATCACATCGCGAGGCATCTGAGCAGGGATCGCTGCCGCCGCTGGCTGAATCACGACGCCAGCCGCATCAACTATTTGATCAACGGCAGGGACAGCGGCCACATACCCGTCCAATAGCAACATAACGGTCGCATCTCTGATGACTATGTTCACGATTTCCACCGTCCTAGGAAACGATCTCTCATGGAGGTTCGCATTGATTCGATGCCTCTCGATCACTTGCAAATCCGTCTCGCTTGTCGATGCAATAACCGTGCCGAATTCCGTTTGCTGTGACACAATTCATTTCATAAACATACTTTCTTCACTTAAGGAGGTAACTCAATAAAATCCATCCCCAAACAAGAAGTATCCGAAGAGAAACAAAAGTCGCGAACGTAACGATCTCCACTTATGACATCAGGCAAGAATTAAACCACAAACAAATATTACCACAATGTTCTTGACAAATGCCACTCGAACAGGGTCTGGCCTATCCAGATTCGCCTGCTGCACGAGGAAGTTAAAGGCATCAGCCGGATTCGCCAAAGCGGGAGCTACTGCTGCCATCTTGCCGTTTGTACTCGACTAAGACAACTCAAACACTTTCCAACTTGAAAACTATACTCTTCGATCTGACTTAACGCACCACACTAAGGAAACGCCTCCACTTATGCTTTTTTCTAGCACCCAATTTTCTAATGCTCAAGCTCTTGTTACCACGACAGTATCCACGCCGCTTTCTTATGCTGACCCAAGATTAAAACGCTCCACCTTTCACCAATCCACTATTCTACTTCTCGTCTCTCGTCTGATTCTTCACTCCAACAAGGAAAAAAAACAGCCTCTTAATTCTCGAGGGTACAAGCCACCTAGGAACACTTCTTTGACACCCAATACATATAAACATAGCTAGAGCAAAACACACAAGATCACTAAGATTAAAACTACACCAATTCCACTCTCATCAAGAGGAAAACAGAACTCATCAACGGTCCCTCATCTTTCATGTGTTAACTTTCAAACGCTTGCAGCTACTTCCTCATCCAGCAAAATTTCCTTAAATTCCGTGTCTAATAACAAAACTTTTTTCACTACTTCCACCAATTCGTCACTCAACAAAACTTCCTCTGTACAAAAATTTTCTACAAAAAACCTGTGCAAGTCTTCTCTCGTCGGAAGATCACTGATATTATCTTCGCTCTTCACTCGATCAACCAAACAAGAAATTCTCTTTTCTGTGCAAAATTTCCAAAAAAAATAAGCTACCAAAGCTAGATGACATTTTCCGCTGTTCATTCTGTTCAACGTGCCCTTTGCACTGTTATTGTCTATAAAGCAAATCAACTTAGTATGTACAAATTTTTCTCCCCACAAATATACACTAACTAGGGGCGCCACTGCTTCCAAAAAATTTATCGGGTGTAGATTATATTTACTGTGAATCATGTCCTTTGTCACTCTAAATCTCCAAAATAAAAACTTTCTTCCAAACGGAATGCCCTCAACTAGAGGCGCAAATAAATCCACTAACACTCCGGCCATCGTCCCCGAGCGCCCTCTTTGCCAAGATGCGTCCGTATACAATAAGAACCGCACCGGAGCCGCGAACAAGACCCGCGGGGGGAGACTACACACTAGCTCTCTACATGTTTGAAGACAAATTCTAAGCACTTTATTCAATTTTCTGTCCCCATAAGAACTAAACATCCGGATGACCAGCGGCCGTAGCAGAGGATGCATCATCCTGTCTGCACAGGCGCAAAGCGCGAAGCTCAACCTTCCGTACAGCTGGGCGGCTTCCGCCGCACTTAATTCTTGCTGCTGCAATTTCTTACAGATTAATTCCTTATATGCTAAACCCCTCTCGTCGGATACTTTCACCGAAGGCCTACCGACCAAATTATAGACTAGACCCAGCAGGGTGATCGACTCTGATGATGACTCAATTTTTTCGAACTTATAGGCCCAACCAAGATAATCTAGTAACTTACACACCGCCCGAACTGCGTCACTTCCAACGCCTTGTTTCGTGAAGAAGTGGAAGTCGTCTATGAAGACACTAATAGGTAGACCAAAAAGCGACCTCATTGAGGATCTAAGAAGCAAACTAATCCTGACCCAAACAACCACTGAGTGCACATTCCCGAACAGCATCGACAATGCCTTAAAGACCATGAACCTAGGCTCTCCCAACGCGGGAGAGGGGTTCCACACTAAGATATAATTAAACTTAACGTGATCACTAGCTACAGGGACGGACTTATAAGCCGCTTCAATATCGATCACACCACCGTCAATAGAAAAAGCACTACCTTGTTCTACGATATTCTTATCGGGATCAACAAAATCCTCAACCAAATTCTCGACAAAAAATTTTTGCTTATCACAACTCAGCTCCCCCGTCGCAAGTCTCTTTTTGGGGTAAGTAACAAAACGGGAGACTTGCTCGCGGTTAAGCTCCGACGACGATGCAGCTACACGCGCAGTCGCCGTAGCAGACGCTAACGCCTCAAGTGGCGTCGGTAGTGGCACTTTTTTACACAAATTCGACGTGCCATTAAAGCATCTAGCATCGTCGATCATTCGATATTTATTTTTCTGAAACACTGCGAACCGTGGCACTAAACTTTCAACCTCATCACTCACTTGCTCCAACTCTAGGGGAGCCTCAAGGAGGCCAGAGTCAACTTCCCTTAAACACGTTGACCAAATTAACTGAAGAACGTCATCCTCAAAGTTCGGCTTGACGAACTTCTTCTTCCTACACTGTTCTATTTTGCACCTCTTAAAAATTCCGTCTATTTTATCATCCGACTCCTTTGGCCTCTTGTTTTCCCACGACTTGGGACAAAACACCTCCCCAAATGCCGTCGAGCCAACAAGTAATAGTTCCCACGCGTCCGGGTCCTCTTCATGGTACAGCAGATTCAACTTACGAAGCAATGCTATGTTCTTCCATCCTACTGATGGTGGTGCACCTTCCCGACTAAAACAACGGTAGTCATCTTCGTCTCTACCCGGACACCATGACTCTGCAGCTAATTCCTCTAATAGTTCCAGGCCACATTCAATAGTGTTTTTAGTAGGGGAACGAGCCATAATCAAGTCTAGATTTTTCTCATCAATTATTTTTGCAGCTGTCTCACTTAAAGCCTTGCTCACATCTTTCTTAATACATTCCACATACGTCTCCACCTGCTTCTTGTCCGTGCCACCGGCACTATTCTTCAACAAGGGCCCAACACCCTTTTCCCCCGAGGGACAGCTCGAACGTGTCTTGGATTTCATAATTTTTTTAAAGGATCAACCTCCTTTATCACAACTCACAAATCATGCGCACAACTATGCTACTTTTTCCTGTAACTTGAACTAAACGCTTTCACTTTATTTTCCATTCTTTTTTTTCAATATAACCCAATTACTCCTTTATCCAAAACATTTTAGTGCAACTTTCGTTCACTATCACTACTCCATTTTCACTCACACTCAGAAACAAAAGACAACGGCCACTGCCGGGACGTCACAGCCCATTCAAACTTGCTTTCCACTTTCAACTCGTCCAAATTTCAACAAACTTCCTCCAACTAATACAAGACAGAACAACAACCGGATCTCGGAGGATGAACCTGCCCAAGAGCAGATCCAAGTTACCTCGCTGAGACGCCCGGCAGGGCCAGGAAGAGGGTGGGTGGGATTTTTCAAAAAGAAAATTCATACTTCCATTGAAATCTTTGAACGGGGTCTTTTCACTGCCGGCCCCTTCTTTTCCAATTCCAACACAACTCACAACAATAGCACTCATTTCGTTCACATCCAGAAATAAACAACATTAAAAGCTAGCTTTGAATGTCGCAT